CACACCCTTTAATATTTTACGTATTTTACAACTACTTTTATCAATTAAATTTTTGTATAAACCTACATTATGCTGGTGGCGGGAGGGTTAAGCGGCGGGCGTGGGCGGGTAAAATTTTTGATAATTGCAGACCATTGTTGTTAAATGGCTCGTAGGCCCAAAAGGATTAGGCAAGCTTCGAGATTTAGTTAACAGATGTTCAAAACTATTCCGCTTTCTATGAGCAAAATCTCCAGGCATGCGCAGAGTTGTTAAACGCTATTTTTAAAAGTAGCGCGCTACCGCTTTCGCTATTTGTCAAAAAAAGTAGCGCGTACTTTTAAGCTACTTTTTATAAAAAAAATTTTAGAAACAAATGAAACAAATTTTTTTTTATTTTTTTTTTGCTTATAATGTAAATGTATAATAAATAATATATTATAAATCAACATTTATAAATATAAAAATATAGTTAGTTTAGATTATAAAAAAATAAGCAATATAAATAAATATTTATTTTAATTTTTTGCATTTTAATAATAATATCATTTCAATATTATCATCCCCAAGTCTAGAGCGACGATTAGAAAGTATAATCTTTGTTTTGCTAAATAATCTCTCGACACTAGCACTTGAGGGCAAGGAAGCTCTAAAAATATTTAATCAGATCAATTTATAAATATAAATAAGTTTTTACCTTCTGTTATGTGTCCAACTATCTGCCGGTTTACATACATAAGATATATCTGATAACTCTACTATTAGAGCATCTTTCATCACTTTGAAGTTGTCGGCTATTTTATTCATAAGTGTCTGGCGACATAAAACTGTTGTGCCAGGGGATAAAGTTTTAATCATCATAGTAAATGATGGATTATCAACCAAGGACAATGGCTGAACTGTGTCAATAATAAAATCAACAATTACTTTATCAGCCAATTTTTGTGAAATATTGGCATGTTTATTATCAGTTAATTTGGTTTGGATAGTATTTGTCTTTTTTAATGAAGATTCTCTTATACCAAAATTTTTTATATGTTTCTCTATTTCCTTATAGCAATTGGCGTGAACAGTCTAATAAAATAAATAATATTATAATGTAAAAATAACAATTTACCTTTAGGTGTTTCTTCAGGTTATAGCTACTCGATTGATTTGATGATATATTTTTTTTACATTTTAAGCACAGAATTTGAATCCAGATTTTGTTTTAATATTTATTTTAAAAAATTTTTCAAATCTAGGGAATGGGAAATCGTTATTAGAGCTATTAAGTACATTTTCTTCCATTGAATCTTCCATGTCTGAATCACTTTCAAGGATTTGGATATCCATGGGCGATGCCATTTTAGATTATTAACACAGATTGAAAATATAAATTAAAAATTGAAAATATATTTAAATTTCAAAATTAAATAATAAATTATAAAAATTATAATTAATTATGATATTATATTTAAATTTTCATGTTTATACTTACATTCATTATATTTTTTAAAAGTAGCGAAGTAGCGCGCTAAAAAATTAAGTAATTTAAAAAAAAGTAGCGGCTATTAGCTATAGCTACCAAAAAAGATAGCGCGCTACTTTAACAACTCTGGGCATGCGTAATATTTTTTGACCAAAATATCGGGTTAGCCATTTTTTTTAAAAAAAATGGAGCCGTTTAAACAACACTAGTAATGATAAGGGTTTTGCCATTTAAAAAAAAAAGAAAATTGTATGCTTATTCATATGTTTTTGACATGTGACAGGAAGTTTCTAGAACCCCCCCCCCCCAAGCCAATAAGGATATTACCACTCCCTCCACTCATTTTTACCTCCTATTCCCTTCGAAATTTATTAAAGTAATTTGAGATATATTGTATCAAAGGGAGCGAAATTTTTATAATAACAATTAAAAATATTAGTTGTTCTGGTAATTTTGCAGAGACCTGCAGAGGCCCCATTTTTAAGGCCCGGCCAGCGTTTTTAAAAAATATATTTTATTATATTTTTGGCGATTGCAAATATTTGGTTTTAAAATATAATGCCCGGGGGCCGGGCCTGCAGTTTATTCGTTTATTCTGGTTTAATTTTTATATACTACAATTGTTGCTTAATTAATTAATAAAAAAAAATTACGAAAGGTGTAATTACAGTTAATAATTACAATTCCTTTCCAATTTGTAACAATTGGTGCCGAAGAGAACGAAACCAGGACCTTTACATTTTCAGTCTAATGCTGTCGGCTCCTCCAATCGATATTCTCAATTATTGGGATGAAATGGGTAAAAAGAAAATTTAATATACGATATAAATTCGTTTATTCTGGTTTAATTTTTATATACTACAATTGTTGCTTAATTAATTAATAAAAAAAAATTACGAAAGGTGTAATTACAGTTAATAATTACAATTCCTTTCCAATTTGTAACAATTGGTGCCGAAGAGAACGAAACCAGGACCTTTACATTTTCAGTCTAATGCTGTCGGCTCCTCCAATCGATATTCTCAATTATTGGGATGAAATGGGTAAAAAGAAAATTTAATATACGATATATTTTAGTTTACATATCGATATCATGCCCGTTTATTAGTTTTTTTTTTTTTTAATTAATGAAAGTAAGAAAATTAATCATTTAACCAACAATTTTTATAATAATAATGAAAATAATTATAATAATTAATAATATAAATTGGAAGATAAAGTAATAAAAATGTATCCGCAAGATGGAGTCTTTTTTAGTGTAAACAAAAATGGCGCTTTAATTTACAATAAATCAGATGCAGAGGTACTATTTCCACGGCCCGGCCAGGATTATAGGGCCCGGCCCGGTTCGGGTACCCGAGCCGAGCTTAATTGTAAATATTATTCTATCGCACGAATTTATATTACATTTATTTTTATTTTTTTATATTAGTAAATTCTGCATAAAGCATCAAAAAAAAAATTATTTTTTTCAACAATTTATAAAATAAAGAAAAAGGATCTTGATTGTGATCGCGATACTTTTTCTTTATCCATGTTTTAAAGAAAAGGATCGAGATCCTGGATTTAGTTCCCCTTTTTTTTTTTTTTTGACAAGATCTTGATCGGGATTCGATCATTATAAAAAAAAAGATCGATTTACGAGCCTGATAATAGTCGCTACATTCTGGAATAAGATTCACGTAAAATCAAGTCGTATGAACATATGGACCGCTAACTCTAAACTAGAGGTCTGCAATGGGCCGGTTTTTAGCCGGTTTTTAGCCAAAAAGCCCGCTCACTCGTTGTTTTAAATATTTGTAAATCGACCCTCTCACCCATTTATATATTTTTTTTAAAAATCTTACCCGCCCTGTCACCCATTTATATATAAATTTTGTTTAACCCCCATTCCGCCACCCGCCAAACGTTAAAAATATTCAAAAAAAACCCCGACCACGTCCATCAGAGCGGGCGTGGGCTTGGCGGGTTAAAAATCTGCCCAATGCAGACATCTATTCCAAATGATCTAAGTTTGACAAAATTCGTTATGAACAATTTACAACAAAACCTCTCGCATCTTCAAAACTGTGTCCTAAATTATATATAGTATGATTTGCCTTATCGAAATTTAATCGATATTCTTTTATAAAAATATAAGCATGTAATATAGTTTAATATTTTAAAAGATATCACCATAAAATTCTAATTCTAGATCGTAATATCGGAGTAAAGCTAATAGGTCCCATAACCCTTTAATAATTTTACGAACATTTATTTTTAACCAACTAATTTTTTTGATTGAAAATATCTAAATTTCAATACTAAAAATGTATATAGGCATTTTCAAATAGGGACAACTACATTTATCGAAATTAAATTTTTGTATAAAATGTTGGTGATAAAGCGATGTTCTACTTATAGTATAGAATAATAGTGTTGTTAAATGGTTCTACGACTAATTCAAAATTTTAAAAAAATTCATGATAGGGATATTCTTTGATTCCTAAATCAATAATTCAGTTTCATTATTAAAGCTTCGCGAGAATAGCCATTTGCCCCCCTGGCTTTAATTAAAGTAGTCCTCCTCAAGTCTCACTCCCCCATCATTGTTTAGAAGGAGACTTACAAATAGGCACATATTCGGATCATCGGATAGCTAATTATTCGTATTATCGAATAGTGTTTGGTCGAATAAATTACTATTCGTTCTTTTAAAAGAACCGAACACGAATTATTTGATTCGTTTTTGAATAGGCTTAACCGAAATGATTGGAATATCGGAGAAAAGAAATGATAACAAGAATACGATTAAATAATTTTTAAAAAAAATAATTTTCAACCACTCCACTCATCTCTAGGAATAGGATCTATATTAGAAATTTTAATTTGGATTATAACCTTAATAAAGCCTCGACCAAAATTTTAAATTATATATTCATTTATTTTTAAATATAAATTTGAAGAAATAAAATTATTTCTATTATGCATTATTTTGTATTGAATTCATTTTAAAGGCAAATTTAGGAACGGGGGAGATTGGAATGGGGAGGAACGATCCCTAAAATAAAATTTTGTTTCGGATATCGAATAGAATTACAGAAAAAATAACTTTTGGTTTTGGATCTGCCAAACATATGTTTAAAAAAAAAATTTTTACAGCTGATTTGGACCGGGCCCAAAAGGGGGTAGGTCAAAATTGAAGGAAAATCTGATTGGTTTAATATTCAATAAAAAATAATAAATTAAAAACAAATTTTATTTTTTTAAATTTAATTATAGAAAAAAAATACACATATTTTTTAATTTTAATTTTTTTTAAAAACCATATGTTTTCATGATTCTTTTTTTTGCTTTTCCTATTCTTCCATGAAGGAGGAATTAAAATCTGGAAAAATCGGAAAAAGTAAATAAATAAAAAAATAAAAACTTTATTTTTCAATGAAAAAAAGAAGAAAGGGAAAATAAATAAATAAAAGAACAGATGAATTCAAATGCACATCAAATATCATCATCTTGCATAGCGAAAATCTTATTATTATTATTATTAAGTTTTTTTTTTTAAATTTTATTAAAACTAAATTTAGGTTTTTTTTTAAAAAAAAGAAGTATATTTGAAATTTTTTAAAAGAAAATTTTGATGCTACGCTATCCCAATTCGCTGCTCTGTTTAGTTTGCTTGGCCTTCGGCGTGGCGCTCTCACAGGATTCGTCCTACGATTTCGATCCCAATCCCAACGTCGAATACCCACCGCTACCACCCGATTTCCTGTCTTCCTTCTCCTCCTCCAACCAACGTAACCAAGAAAGCCATCCCAAGGAACTGGTCGGCGATGAGGACGTATGCGGCCATTGCTTTTTCGACAGATGCCCCAGACCCGAAAAGTGCGAGGCGGGAATCACTCGGGATCATTGCGGCTGCTGCTTCGTGTGCGCCCAAAAGGAAGGGCAGATGTGCGAGGGGCCATCGCACCCCTACCCCGATCATCATAATATTCTCGGCAGGAAGAAGCATCTCGGTACGTGCGGCGAAGATTTGGATTGCGTTTTGAGGTTTATATTTAAATTTAATTTCTCTTTTTTTTAGAATTATTAGTTTTTTCATCGCATACATTTTTAGCGGAGGGTTTTAGGTCCGCGCCCGCTCTCTTAGTCGGTCTCGGGGGTGGTTACATACTTTTATAAAATAATTTTTGATTTTAACTTTTACACTTTAAAAAAAAAAATTATACTTCGTATTCAAACGAAAGGGAAGGTCCCAATCAATAAAATCCGATCGAAAACGGAAATGTCCCGTAGGAAAAAGGAAAAGGGTTAAAAGAGAATTCCCGCCCAAAATAGGAAAATCTTTTATAAAAATTTATGATATTTTATTTTGTTGTCATTTTAATTAATTATCCTATGGGAATGTTATTTTTTCTTTAAATATTCGGTTTATTTATTTTTTCAAATTTTTTTTGTTTGCGATCTATCTCTTCAATTTTGTATCATTTTTTTAATTTTAATTTTTCTTTTTTATTTTATTTTGTTTTTTTTAAAAAATTTTGTTTTCCCTGTCAATGAATTTTGTCATAAATGTCGTAGGAAGTGCATGTCCATTCTAACTTAAAATTTAGTTTAACGAATTTTTCGAGAGCTAAGCTTTGGAACCATGTTTCTCGTACGCCTTAAATAAATACATTTTAGTTTATCAACGGTGTCATTATAATCACAATTAGTAATCATCTGCATCGGATGTGTCATCTCGTCTCTGTTGTCATGTCTAAAGGGATTATACGTGATACCTGATATTAAGCTCACTAGCCCTAAAATGTCATATGTATATCAAAGATATATATATAACAGAGCAACGCTTGGTTCTCTCGTAAGAGCCCATCTAACTGGGATAAAAGAATGGGAAATAATTAAATAAATAAGAGGACCATCCACGTTTTTTGGGCAAATTAAGAAGCAAATCTCACATTTGGGGAAGTTATTTAATACTTGTATTCGTATGAGGAGAGAATTTGCTCTTATAAAAATTTAAAGATCAAAGGATTCAAATTTTTCGACGAATTTATTTGAATTACGGTAATTAATTCCTTTTTTTGAAAATATCATAATTACTCAAAATTAAGAGATATATATATCATATGGCGCCTAGTTTCTATAAATAAAATCACATATTTTTATTTTACCTTAAAAAATTCAACATAAAAAATTGATAAATTTAATTTTAAAAAATATTAGGCCCGACCCAACCCGAACTCGATGTTTTTTAAAATAACCGGCCCGAAGTCCGCTTAGACCGCCCTGGCCCACTTCTATGGATCTCTAATAAAAATCATCATTTACAATTAAAATAGAATTTAGGAAAGATAACAGACAGGATAGATAATTTTTTTTTTTGATCGAAGGGGTGTCCATCATTTTTATTTTCTTAACGAATTACGGAAACTATGAATCTTCAATGGAGGGCGAGGGTATTTCCGGTCCCCTTTTCACCCCACCTCCCATTTCCGTTCCGTCAATTATACGCTGATAAATTATCGATGATGTGTTTACTTTTTTAAAGAGAAGACGTAGTGCCCGATTTCGCGAACCCCTTACTGCGAGAAGGTCGGGCAGTGCTCGGAGAGCCTCAATATCTTTGCAAATGCCGCCACACGGAAACGCTCTGCGGATCGAACGAAAAGACCTACGACAATCTGTGCAAACTCATGGAGGACGCCTACAGAGATCACGAAAAGATCAAGGTTTCTTTCAGGGGACCATGCCAGAGCGGTAATTTTAGATAAATTATGACTCGCTCACTTTTTTTTGTACGAATTATTTTTCTTGTGGATAGATATATTTTAGAAGCTAAACATTGTTATAGTTTAATGACATATAATGGATACCTAGACTGACCATGCATTCATAATAAATGCAATATGAAATCGTCGTTTGAATGCAAATCAGCTGGGCTCGCCATTTTGTTCTTAAATTATCTCGATGATCAGGCAAATTTGCCTCAAATCAGATATAGGAATAAATTGGGCTCTCGTTTTAAAAATTTCTTAATAATGATGACGGGTAACCAAAATGGCGTCCCCAGCTGTTTTTCGTTGATGTACACTTTTAATGAATGGATCGTCAGTCCTAGTGTATTATTGTATGTCATTGTAGGGTTGTCGAATACTGTCAATCTTTTTTTCGATAAGTGTTGGGAGCAGCTCTTCTCAATCCCTCTAATTTCCACTTTTCCTTTAAATAATTTTTTTTCTTTGTCCACTGATTCTTAATTTTACTTTTCCTTATATTTCTTGTCAATTTCTTAAACACCGTGATAAGGATTTTTAATAAAATTATTTTTTTTTCGCAAATATTTAATTTTCATCTTTAATTTTAATTTTTTTCATATTTTTTTTACTTCTCATCTTTAATTTTATTTATTTTTTCTTAACTTTCTTTTTTAAAAATTTATTTTATTTATATATATTTAATTTATTTTGAAATTTTTTTTAAAAAATAATTTCTTATAATGTTTGACTCACAATGATCCCACTTATCGTATTTTCTTCTTCAGGATATTGTTATGTAATTCAATATTGTGTTATATATTTTAAGGACTTACGCCTTTTAAAAATAATGGAATGGTAAAAAGTCAAGAGAATCATACTCTGATTTGCGAGGGATTTTGATCTTCTCTCCTCGATTTTAGAGTTAAAATTGATTTCCGGGACCGACCCGGTTTTTAAAACCGAAAACTCAGGTCATGACCTAGAATCCGGGCCGAGCCCGGTTTTAAAAAAAAAAAAAGAAAATGAAGCTCCTATAGCTACGTTATCTAAAAAATTATACATTATATTTTTTTCTTCAAGCTCCATGGATACACACAGGGCCGGAGAATGTTTACAATGAAACGGGTTCTCAGGTGGCGCTGATTTGCGAAGTGAAGGGCTATCCCATACCGGTTGTCGAGTGGAATTTCCATGGATCAAACGGATTGATCGTATCCTTACCTAGTTAAGACCAGATTAAATATCTTAATAATTAGAGCTCTTGCTCTATTCTACCATAAATTTATAATTGTACCATTTTAAAAAATTAAGTCATTTTTTTCCATTCGAACTTATTAATTTATTTATATATTTCAAAGGATTTTATATATTAAATTATGTTATGTTAGATATAATTTTTTTTTAAAAAAATTGCAAGTTTTTAATAATCAATTTGGATATTATAATAAATTAATTTTTTTTTAAGTAAAAATTCCAAATTCCGTTATTTTGGAAAGTGTTACATTAAATATAAAGGCGCCTGGCGTATGTATATACTTGTTCAACTAATATGGGTTTTAGGGAGAATTCTATAGACGGATAGCTTCGTAAATTTTTCTAGGAGATTTATTTGTTTATCTGTAGGATTTTTATTTAAAATTGTATTCAGTATCTTTTCTAGCATTCAAATATATCAAGAGACCTGCAGGCCCGGCCCGTGTACCCGGACCTAGCCATGCCGTGCAAATGATACCGGTCTCTGAAATATATCATTCGGCCAATAATATTATTTTTGGGCAAAGATATATGTATTATTTAATATGTTTAATCCCTACCTAAAAAAAAATAAAACCTAATTTTTATTAAAAAATTGGTGACCTTTTCGTTCTCAAAGTTCTATCTATGATAATAATATATATTTTCTTTTATTTAAATTTACCATTTGAATTTCAAGGCGATGATAACCATGTAGCGGTGTTGGCTAGAGGCGGCCCAGAAAAGTACCAAGTAACTTCCTGGTTGCAGATTCAGGGCCTAGTGGAATCTGACGATGGCGAGTACACCTGTTTTGGGATCAATAAATATGGGCAAGCTAATAGCACGGCTCGACTTCAAGTCTTTCAAAGAGGTTTTATATATTTGTCTTATAAAGACATTTTTTTAAAATCTTATTAAAGAGCGCTTCCAAAGTTTCCGAGTCTTGATTGACATGGACCTTATAGCCCCATACGCGCACTTAAAACCTTTCAAAAAAATATTATCGGGTTTAGCTTAGTTTTTTTTAACTGACGTAAACGCTACAATTAATAAGCGGAATATATTTGCAGATACTTTTTGAAAATATTTAGATTCTAAAAAAAAGGGGGTATAATTTCCGGTTGGCGTTTATAAGAGAAAATAATTAAATTAAGGTTCGGTTCTTACAGGTCAAATTACAAAAGAAAGATGGAAAAAGAAAGAAAGAAAGAAAGAAAGAAAGAAATTAATGAGAGAAAGAAAGTTGCAAATGAAGAAAGAGGGTTTCAAAAGAAAAGAAGTAATTATTCCCCGTAAGGTAGAAGAGAAATAAAAATAAATCTTGATTGACTGTAGCATTTATATATTTGACAGTTTGGTAAACTCTCTAAAAGGAATATGGTAAAACACAAATCAGACACCTTTATTTTTTTTATTATATATTTATATTTTAAAAAATTTATTTTTTTGGAAATTTGATCATCCACTAAATGTGGGGAGGGGCGGGGGTTGGCACCTGCCAATCACTTTATGATAGAGAATACCCATTTATTGAGTATCGTTTAAACGTTTCGATTTAAGGCCGATTTCTTTATTTTATCCAGAAAGAATATTTACTCGAGTCTGAAGATTTTGCTTCAGGGGGGGGGCACAAAGGTTTGGACTTCTGTCAGCGGAAATCTCCAGGCTTAGGGCGATATTTTTTCTGGCTAAAATAATGAGCGCTCCTATTTAAATAATCAGCTGTTTAACAGTACATAACTTTTATACTCTTAATATTTACTTCTCCCTTTAATTGGCGATGTTCCAGGTTTTTACCCAGGTTGGAACGACTACAAAATTAATAATTACTTCTGGAATCTTCCATGGAGAAGAATTTTATTAATTCTCCCCTTTCTTTCTTTTGCAGGGATTCTATTTTTTTTATAGGTATATCTCATGGTTGACCTTCTATATTTCTTATAAAATTTTTCAAAATGGGGGTGGTGGGGGGGGGGGGGGGGTATGTCATTTAAAAAAATTTTTTCTGGCATTTCCCTATCTTCCATAATCTTAGCATCTCTCCCATTATAAAGATTAAAAATAGGGAGTTCCGATTGTTAAAAAAAATTTTGGCACAAAATTTTCCTAAATTAATCTTACATTTACTACGTGAGCCTATTTTCAAAAACGGCGAACTCAAGATTTTCGCCAGAAAAATATTGCCTAAGTCTCGAGATTTCGCTAATGGATGTCCCAAGCCTAAGTTCCTTCTACAAGCAAAATCTTCAGGCTTGAGTAATACTATTCTGGATTAAATATTGAGTTTTAACAACACTATTTACTATCTTAGCAATTATTTATACCATTATTTTATTGATTTTTTATGTTTGCTTTATAAACTATTTATTTATCTATCCATCTCGATATATATTATAATAAGGTGATCCGCGTTATAAAAGATTCGCTGAACTATGATAGCGGGGAGCGAATTATTTTAAAAAATATCTAAAGTTATTATAGTGTCATAATTTTTAAAATAAAATAAATTAAGTTTTTTTGCATTTATCAAATTATATTACCATAATATATATTATTATTTTATTTTATAAACATGAATTATACATATATATAATATAATTTGAGCTTTTTTCATTAAAATATCATCAAAATATACCAGTGAATTTCGATATTATTATTGTAATATTAGCTTTCATTTCTCTCCTAAATATTATAATAAGTGTTATATCACTTATTATTATGATTATTAGGATAATATTTATATGATTTGTAAGAATAGATTATTCTAATATTTATAGTTTATAAAATAAATAGTTGAATTTTTTTGCGTGATCGAAACAATATTTTTAATATATATATATAATATATGTAAAGAAAGAAAGAAAGAAAGAAAGAAAGAAAGAAAGAAAGAAAGAAATTTTTTTTGAGCCGTTTATTTTAAATTTTTTTTTAGAAAATCTTGATTTTACCGGAAAAGCAGGTTTCATCATGTTTGAAACTACCTACCTTATGACATTTCTGCAGTATTTTTCCACGAACTTTTAAATTAGATTTTCCATGAATATTTTAAATATGAAAATGACTCGAAAGTTAACAGCTGTATTGTCTACAAGATGAGTATTCCAAACATGATTAGAATACATTTCCGGAAAAATCCGATTTTTTTAAATACGCTAACATATAGTTTCTACTATAATATTTAATTTTGCGGTATGTATTTTAGGATTTTTTGCTCCCGACGCATCCACCTACCGTCCAGTTTTATGAAATACTGTTATTCAACTCACGCCCCTTATATAATCGTTAAAATTTTATTTTGAAATCTTTTAATAAACCGCACTGCACTCTCTCTCTCTCTTAGAGGATATATTTAAAAGGCGCCGAATTTTATAATATCCCGCGAAAAGGTAAGTGCGTATAGAAATATATATTATTTTTTTTCAAGATAGATCCCCTCCCTATTCGAACTCGATTGAAGCGGAACTTGATGGAATGTAAAATAGATCGGTAAGCGGTTAAAAACGATTCAAATAATTTGGGAAAATCCAAAGATTAGGTATTTCCGGTTCCGGCTTAAGTTAAAATAACGGTTTACGAGTCATGTTGGCTTTAGGTTTTACCCTTTAAAAGCTGATTCAGATCTTTTTCGCCATACAAAATTCGCTTTAGAATATTTTTTTTAAAAAATTTATTTTTATTTCTCTTATTAAAATAATATTTGCCAATTAAAATGTTTTTTTAAGATACTCCCCAGTAAAATTATATATATATATTTGTATATATAAGGAGAAAAATAAAATTTTAGTGCTGACACTACTTCTATATGCTCCGGGTGTTAGCATATAGAAGTAGTGTCAGCACTAAAATTTTATTTTTCTCATTAAAAGTATCTAAAAATAATATACGATAACTTATCTGTAAAACTAAATAATTAGTCATCTTTTATAAGATTTAAAATATTTAAAAAGTTCAAATCGCTTCAGAGATATTTTTAACGGTTCAGTTCAGGTTCTGGTTAGGTTCTGGGCTTAACGGCTCATGTTCCTTTTGAATCCTTGTCCAAAAATCTTGAAAAATAATGATTAATTAGTTCAGGAAAATAACATCGAAAGCAGGGGTTTAACACTTATTCAAAAATTAAATAAAAAAATTGTTTTTTGAAAAATAAAATCTTCTTTGATTTTTCCTTTTTGATGTTATTTTTTTATAAGCACATTTTATAATTTGAAACATGGTTTCAAATTAAGTAGTAGCTTCATAATTAAAAGCTGGCTAAATTTAAATCATTGCACCAATGTTGCAATCTATAAACTTATTTGATTATTTAATTATCAGAATACTCAAATGGCAATAATACAATATAACGAAAACGAGTGTGTATAAAAAAAAACTGGATTCTTTCAAAGGTTATATATAGATTTATCATTGATAATCCTTGATTGATTGACAGCTCTCAAATCTTCAACGTCAATCAATCACAACAGTGCAGAATAATAATTATTTTGCCTTTTAACCTATTTGTAAAATGAAATTAATGATGATAAATCAGAAACTCGGAAGGTTTTAGATAAATATAAAACCGAAAAAAACTACCGCTCTTCAATATATAAGGATTTAAATGTCGAAATTTTTCCACATTTATCCGGAACGAAATGATTAAAAACAAGTTTTGATGTAGCTTTCAAGATTTTTGAGAAAAAAAAAGATTTGATTTTTTGCGATACAAGAATTTATTTCCCCAAATTTATAAGAATAATCAATCATTTACAAGCAAAATTTTGCCTAATTTTTAAGACTAAGGACTGTAATTTTATATTATTCTTTTTTTTCTGATATGACTATGATCAATATTGTTGAATAACTCGATTTAAGCCGATTTTTAAAAAGTGGCTAAATCAGGATGATTTTAGGGAGAAAAGTATTGTCCTAACCTTGAAATTTCGCTAATAATAGATAGCTCTAAACCTTTCAGCCATCTATGGAGCAAAATCGACAGGTTTGTGGTAAAATATTTTGGATGAAATATTGAGTTAGCCGTTTTTAAAATTCGGTTCAAATAGAGCCGACAACGATAACGATGATAATAAAAAAAAATATTATAAATGACCCTTTTAAAATTCACATATTAATTTGGGAATAGGATAAATTAAATTTGATTGTATAAGTTTCTAAATGTCACAAAATTGTTACGGCCAGTGGCGTAGCTAGGAATTTTTCTTAGAGGGGGTTCATACATATAAAAGCCTGGGGGGTTTCGCCCCCAGACCCCCTTTAACGGGCCTTCGGCCCTTTTCCCCGGCCTTCGGCCGGGTTAATCTTACAAATCATAACCATATCTTCTATAATATATAATATATATATTTTTTAAATGCATCAATAATATGTTATTATAATTTAGTAGATTATTCTCAATGACTTTATAATAGTACTATCCAGAATAATTTCAATAGTAATATAGAATCCTTCTACAAACATCAAAACCAGAAAAATATAAATACTAATGGCATTTATTTAATATAAAGTCACTTTTAAGTCTTTTGAACGTATAATCTAGAAAAAAGATTTAGCTCTGGGAGGGGTCCAAACCCGAAAACCACCCCCGTAGCTACGCCACTGGTTACGGCCATGTACTTAAGATATCTAAGCCATTGATACCAAGACTACAACGTGGGGGTAATTCTATATCTCAATAATACAATTTTTTGGATACTAAAATGATTGCGAATGTGTGCCTAAATACTTAATTCAAACTCAGATTTGGGAAAACACATTTAACAGTAAGAATTAAATATTCTAAATATGTTTTGGCTAGATAGAAAAATTATTTTTCTTAGCTCATTGATTTATTTCTTAGAAAAAGATTTCTTTATTTTAAATCCTGATTCATATCTTTTCTGTGATATAGGAATTAGAACTAAATATGTTTGCATGAGAGGAGTTTTACCAATGATGTATATATATATATATATATAATATATATATATATATACTATACTATTCTCTCTTATAAAATATATTTTACATTAAAGAAGAAAAATTGGATCTTATGGTGTTGTGGTAAAATCGGATATTTTTTATTATCTAATTGTTTTCAAAGGATTTTGCTTTATAACTTTTCTTTATTATTTGGGAGCCATCAATCAATATCAAAAAATGTCTTTGCGCACCATCAGGCACTTCTAACAAGATGAAGGTTAAATCTAGCCGCGTCCCACCAAATTTATATTTCTCTCATGTAAACAGTTCCTCTCTGTAAATTTGTTGCATTTATTTTGAACTGGACATCGCTAGTTATGTGCTTTGTTTGCTAAAGCACCTCCATTTTTAAAAATGCACTAATTAGCGCCTAATTTTTAAATAATTGGCACTCATTAAAGGGTTATCTTACGAAAATTAAAGTTTTCTATGTGGCGTAATCATTTTATTATCATAATTTCCTTTCGCCTTAAGTAACAACATAATAGTGCGGAATCAAAAGGTATTTATTATATTATTATAATCTATAAATATTTTAAATTATTTTTTATTAGATGATCCTACAAATAAAAATGAAATAGAACCTAATACATAGTAATAAACAGACACTAAAAACTATTCATTTAATATATATATTTTTTTATATATATTCGTATTTTTTTTTCTCGATATATATTTTTTTTTATAAAATATCAATTTAAGCCATGTAAATAAAATAAAATTAACCTACCAAAAACCACAGAATAGTAAGGAAATATTATAAATACCAATATTATATCACATAAAATAATTTAAGATGGTTTAAATTCAAATTTTTGTCTGAGGTTTGAGTTATAAAAAGTTTTGCTTTCATTTGTTGATTTAGTCCCAATTTTATTCTGAAAAATAAAAACAAAAAGACGAGCTTATTAAAGATATTTTTATTAATTTTTGGGTTTTTTAAAGGTTTTTTAATTCATTATGAAAGTAATAAATTAGATTCTACATTGTTTTGTTTTAAATTAAAAATTTGTTTTTTGATATTATTTTAATCAGTAAATACATGCTTATAATTAATTATAATAAAATATATAGATATGGAGATACAAACCCGACTAAAATAGAACAAAAGCTCCGAAGTCGGCTAAAGAAGAGTGAAGGGGGGGGGGGGGAGCTCCAAATTATTAAATATATATAGAGTGCATAAATATATAGATGCACCTTTTGGCTCCATTTTTGTGAAAGCTAAAGAAGCCTCTGGTTAGTGGGGCTACGTTTATATGTGTATATATGTATTTTATATATTATTAATATTTATAAAACTTGTGGTAATTTTAAATATCACTTTCTAATGTTAGGCCATTTTTTTTTCAAATAAATTTTTAAGAAATGTGATAATAAGCCTACAGTAACAAATCCTCTAGATCATTCATGTCCAAACAAGCCAAAACGCAGAATATTAGATGCGAATTATGTGGTGTGTCATTTACCAGAAAATCTAATTTGGAGAGACATAAAACAACTCATATTGATAAAAAATTATTCAAATGCACAAATTGTAATAAAGGATTTCCAAGGTTTGATAAATTAACTATGCATATGAATGTGCATACCAAGAATAAATTATTTCTCTGCCCAAAATGTTCTAAACCATTTCTATATAAGTCTAGTCAACAACGTCATTCTAAAAATTGTAATAATGTTGTATGAAATATATTGAATCCATGTTTTATATAATGTTAAATTTTTTTAAATATAATTTTAAACCATTTGTGTTAAATTATTGTTTATAAACTTATAATGTTAAATGATTGTTTCTTATAATATTGTTTTATACATTTGCCAAAATCAAATTATGTTAAACGTTCTTATACTGATATAAAATTTATTTATAGTAGTAATATTTTAGTTTACCATTATTTTTGATATATAATTATTAAAATATTAATATTTATTATAAAGCAAACAATATTCAATTTGATTTTTTTATACAAATGCATTTGGGAGTTTATAAATATTGTAATTAAAAATCAATAACTAAATGTATTTTGATCCTTCATCATAGCTATAAGTGCTTAATACTTATATTATCCATTTGATAAACAAAAAATCTTGCAAATAAATTCTCATGCCAAAAATTTTTAACATATATTTATATAAACCTCAAAAAATAATTATCCTTTTTTTGAAACAAAATCTATAAAACATGCTTCTTTAAGTAAATAGAAAAAAGTAATCTCATTAATTACCTTTTTAATTTATTCATACCTATTTATTGCACAGTAAATTTAAAGTTTTAACACCTACTCATTCATAATGGAGGTGATTCTTGACCTATTATAATACCCTGATTTTTAAAATTAATTAAAGGCTCAACAAGAAATATATTTAACTCTCACAATATCAATACTAATTCCTGCAAAGTCAATTTTTTATTGGCCTGGGGCCTGGCACACAATTTAATTTGTTTTCCTAAAATTGGTGGTATTTATGTCAACTATCTATTTAATCATGGGTTCAAAATACCCCCCCCCCTTACCCGAGTCCCGAATTTACTTTGGTCTTAGGTGAGTCTAATTTTTAAAAATAATTTTTATTCGGACTATGACATAATCTTTTTAAAAAAAATTATGGTAAGTCCAATTCAAGGCTTCATTGGAAACCAGTGCCCCCCCCCCTCCCATAAAAAAATTTATTAAAAATTCTTTTTTGGTGCCTGGAAAATATTTTTTAAAATAAGAATGTAAATAGTAGAGAAATATCTGCTGTTCAAACCACTATTGCTTAAAAAAACTATTCATTTATGTTTGCTAAAATACCTAGCGCTAACAGCACCCCATATTGTAATGGGGAACAAGGAGGAAGTAAAATAGTTTGGTGGATTCAAGGTGCCAAGATACAAAATGAACCTGAGTTTCCAATAACAAATGGGGAGATTAAATTTTTTCAAAGTTATTCTTATTTCAAATATATTTGATAAAACCAACAGATTTAAATAAGTTATTTAACCAAATTAGGCCAACATCGCTCAAAAGGACTGTCTACAAATACTGGAAGTTTCTTTGAAATTTTATAAATACGAATATGGTGAATTCTTACCATGTAAGGATCTATAACTTAAACAAAGGTAAATCAAATCTATACCAAAACTGATTTTATCATTCAATAATATTTGCAAATCATTAAATCATCTTAATTCTTTTCAGCCATGAGTCCAATTCTCATGTTCCATCTTATTTTATAAACATATTTGATCATAATTATATTTTATATATGGTATTTCTCATATAAAACAATGATATATATATATTTCAATTAATTTTGTATTCAAATAAATCAAATATTCGTTTAATGATGTTAAGAAAACATTAAAATTTTTGTCGACACCCCCCCCCTCCGGATCTGAACCCGGGTAGATTGAGAAGGAAGAGAACCGGATAGATCAACAGAGCTCAAATGAATTTATCAAATATTTTCTTGTAAATAATCCTTTGAAAACCAAAATTTCCGGTGGGGAATTTAAAACATTATTTTGGAAAAAATAAATAATAATTTTCTTTTTTTTTTATTGATAAATAGCGACTCGAACTTCGACATCAAAATAAAGCCACGCCACGCACAATTAAAAACAATTTAAGCTATAAAATAAATTTAAAAAATTTATAATAATTATTATATAAAAATAATTTAATTTGTTATTTTTAAAAAATAAATAAATATAATATAATATATAAATAATCATCGTATTTCGAATAACGAAAATAAATAATTAATATAATAATTTTTTTAAAAAAATGGGACAAATACGCCGGGTTTTACTAATAATTCAATACTGATTTTAAATTTTTATGAATAATATTTTCGATTTCGTTATTGGAAAAAAAATTGATTATTTTTTTTCTTTTAATCTCTTAATCTTCGGTAGAGGAAGTGCAGCATTGATCCCAATCTTCCCAATAACGCTTCTTCATTCTGGCGCAATAGGTTGATAGGTTAGGAAACTCGCCTTTAATTTATCATACGAAAAATAATGGAGTATATAGAAATAGTAATGTAGGCATGTGTAGGCAAGAAATAAAAATCTTTATTTTCTTTATTTTTTCTTTCTTTCTTTATTTCCTTTAAATAACGTGATATCAGGTAAATATAATTTTTTATAAAGGTTATTTTTTTAGGGTACGGTGTAAGTAGGTAGTGAGGGTCCGAAAAAAAATATGGCCAATAAAACTGTTAAATAAAGAGTCTAGTAAAAAATGGTTTAGAATGATAAAATATATGAATGAATGGGTTAGAGGGGTCATTAAATGATCGTTATTAGTAAGAATATTGAACCCCGCATGCGCATCGACACGTGATTAATTTTTAGAGACAATACGTTGTGATAGACGTAATGTGAAAGGCATTTAAAATGTAAGAATCTACCTACAGCCAATGAAAATTGACTGCATTCTATCTTTAAAAAATGAATCATCAGGTTTAATCTACTACAGCCAATAAAAAATGACTACATTGTTTTAATAAATGAATCGTCAAGTTAATCTACTACAACCAATGAAAAATGACTGCATTGTATCTTTAATAAACGAATTGTTAGGTTATTATTGTCTTAAAAAAATGAGGACCCCCCCCCCCCCCCAGGTCGTTTTGGATACATGAAGGCGAATGAATACTACTAAAAAAAACGTAGCCGATTTTTAAAAAATAATTGTCTCCCAACCCCCAATACCCAACAAAGGTAAAACAAGGAGGAAAGTGCAACAAAATGACACAGGAGTATAATCTTATGGAGGTGTATCCATTCTTTAACTGTAGAAATTTGAGGAGTATATCACGTCACCACGGGTGGATCAAGATTTTAGCCAATCAAACACTATTATTAATAATTAATCGAATTAGTAAAACTCGCATTTAAATATTTGAAACTTCTTTCCTAACCCTAACCCCTTCCAATTATTAAATACTATACAACTAAATTATGTTCTTTGTCGTTCTTGGAAGTAGCGTCGTTCAAAGGCTCGATATAAGCCGATCTCAATATTTTAGCCAGAAGTATATTGCCTAAGCCTTAAGATTTGGCTAATACATGCCCCGAATCTTTGTTCCATCTATGAGAAAAATCTTCAGGCTAATGTAATAATGTAAATATTTTTCTGGATAAAATATTGATATAGCCGGTTCTAAAAAAATTGGCTTAGATGGAACCATTTAACAACGCTACTTGGAAGAACGCTCATTGTACCTTCGATCAGAAACGCGTACGGATTTTTATCGCGGGAATACAGAATTTGAGCTAACATCGAAAAAACGCAACAATCCACTTCGCTGGGCTGTTCTCCCATTATATAGGTTTTTCCTCCTGGGATAAAAAATAGATAGAATAACAGTAACGGTTAGATAAAGGTTAGACCAATGACATTAAACCAACCAAGACTAACTATTCATTCAAAAATGCGTTAAAAAGTGTGCGCACACACATTCAAATCCGCCATTAAAAGGTTTTGTGGCGAAATGTGAAAGAATTTAAAAAGAATGTCCTTCAATTAGGATCAATCTTCAATGTTGGTTGGGATCAATCAATCTTCAGTGTAGGTTGGGATCAATGTCATCAGGTTAGACATGGTTCAAATTGTAAAAATAGTTAAGTGATAAGTAATTACGAGACTGGAAATAAATTGGCGAGTTGATTACCCCCCTTCCACCCATCCTGTCAATCAAAAAAAACGGGATTCGTGTCAAAGATTTCGGACTCAGTAATTTTAAAAGTAGATTTCGCGGAAACTTTGATAAAATAAACTTTTTTTTTTAGAAAACCCGAATTTCGGAAAGAAACTCGGGATAGCCCCAGTCCGAAAAACCCCGGTTATTGATGGGTTTGCCCACAAATCGGTCCCTGGTTCGGTCTGCGTTCTCAGAGGAAATCCAACCAAACGATTTTAGACACATGCCAAAATTTCTGTACTCGTTCAAAGAATTATAAATTATAAATATCGGATCCTTGATTCTAAGGGATATTAGTAATAAAACAAAATAATGTAATGTAATAATACCCAAGAAAGATGAAAGCGCTTTTAAATCTTTCAGCCCAATCTGATATACCTGGGGTTCGTTGAATTTGCCGACGCCACTCAGATAGCTCCGCTTATTGTGCTGAGGTTTTAGCACCAATCGTCCGTATAACTTCATGAACAAGTAAAAGCACCAATCGCCCTTCGAATATTCGAGAAGGGTAACGAACGGGTTACAGTATTTGAACTTCCAGCGGTATTCGCTAACAACCCTCGGGGTTTGTAACCAAAAAAAGCAAATATTTTTCGATAAAAGAGGGGGATATAAAGCTACCTCAAAATTTCAAAACTTTGGTAACTTTATAAAACATGTCCTAAATCTTCTATAAATTTTCCCCATTTCTTAATACAATTAATTAACAAACTTTCATAAATTCGGAAAAATTATTATTTAGGCCACCATTATATTTTCACATTAAAAATAGCTTATTTCTATTTTTTTCCCCCTTTAGAGTTACGAAAATTTATTAATTACATTTTTGGTATTTAGGTGACACAGAGTCCTAAAGAGAAGAAAATGGGGGATAATTTTAGCAGGAATTCGATCCTAAATAGGAATGATATTTCAAACCCAGGTCAGTTCAAGGTGAAGTGAAATTTAAAAAAAGAATTCACTTCTAAGATGTCAATTATATTGATTTAAGTGCCAATCAATTTTTTTAAAGAAAAAAAAATATATAATCTTTATTACAAAACGATGAAATTGTAAATAAGTCAACAAATTTTATACCACACGTAATACAGGAAATAAATGTGATACGAAACACATATATTTTTCATTAAAAGACCAAGTAACAGATCCCGTTTGAAAATTTTGTGTCTCAAGCGCTAAAACCGAAAATATTTTCTCGGATTTAATAAAAAAAATTAGCATTTAAACTAGATAATTATTAAGAGATGCCACTGCGATTTACTTTAAATCCATGATACAAATCAGTACCCTGCATGGGTACATAATTTTTTACAAGTCCAGTCCGATCAACAAAAAAAATTAATTAATCGAGTGTTCTTCTCTTCTCTTCTCTTCTCTTTCGGAGATACTTATGAACTTCTTCAGAGAGACTTATAATCAAGGTCTTGACCGAATTCAAGAGAATGTTTGTCCGAGCCTAACCGAACCAAGTAGGGTAAACACACAGGGGCATGGCTCTAATAAGAATTTCGTAATAATATTATTATCATATATTTTTTAAGCCGAGTTTTCGAGTTGTTAATTACACAATATTTACTCACAAGGTTGCCATTTTTATTTGATCATGGTAGCCAATGTCAATAATTTATTTTATATAAAAAAAAATTATTGGAATCGTGAAAATAAAGAATACATAAGGATCCCATAATTATTTAAGTAATAAAAAAAAATTTTTGGAATTAATCGTGGGGATGAAATTATTTATTTTTATTCCTGGATATAATACGTAAAATGTATATTTAAAAAAAAAAAATTCAAAAGTATCGTAAAAAGTAACTAATGGCGCGTTAACTTTTTTTTTGAAGAGAAAATAGTGGTACCCACAGCCAGTGGCATATCTAGTATTTTACTTTGGCCAATGGGGTGGGGGTCAAATTGCAAGTTGTTATCCCCTTAAAAAACGCCAATGAACCCATCTTAGTCAAAGAACATGTAACATTAGTTAGTGAAAGCTATCTATCTGAGGTTTGAAATGATTAAGGATCAAACATAACGGAAAATAAGGGTTAAAGATCATCTGTAAAGATTATCCATTTAAGGAACCTATTTTAAAAACAGGCTCAGTCCGGGTTCTATTTCCTGCCGATCTGGGTGTGCAATAAAATTTATCATTTTTTTCGACAGTCCGAGTGTGTGAGTAGGGCCTTCGAGTCTCGAATCTCCAAGAAATTAGAGATCGTCATTTTAGACGTATTCCCAAGTTATCAATATCGCCAATAGAAGAGTAAAATATTTATGTAGCATGCCATTTTTACCAATATAAATGATTTTCTGTCAGAATTCGGAATGGCAAAGCTTGAGCTTGTCGAATACGTGTTAAAAATCTATATCCAAATTTCTTTGAATTTATAATTAATTCAATATACGTATTCGACACCCCTTCCTTTAAATCGCCCAAATCCATTCTGAACTGCCCATACAGGATAACTTGTTATACGTGTCTCCATCTTTCGCGAAGACATCTCTTTTGTTCCATAATGTCTACGATAACGCTCTCTTGCAACGATACTGACTCTTGTCACGACCCTAACCGTATCAATCATCTCCTGTAACAATAACCATTTCTTGCAATAAAGATCTCACGATTATGGATTTCTTGAATCTTTGGATCCAAAATAAAAATCCGATCTCTAAACGAGCTCGATTGCGGCATGAATTTTCTATTGATGAAAGCCGTTTCTCTTCCTGAATGTTTTGGTTAATCAACAACCTAATATTTTGCTAAATATTATCAGCTTAGTTAAACGTATATCTTCAACAAAAATTGTGACTAATTCCTGTTAACAATAACGATCTCTTGTGTGACTAAAAGGACTAATTCTAAACTTTTTCGAACTACGACCATTTGCCTGGATATTGATACCATTGTTTCTTTGCTCTCATTATTTGTCTTGTGGTCATTTCATACATCCCCTTCCCCCTTTACTTAAAATTTCTTTTCACAGTTATCTGGACTGAAGTTTTAGGGCCCATAGTACATACGGTTTTGACACCGTTGTTGAAATTGTCTCCTCTCTGGCCAATCTCAGCCAATTCCTTGATATCATTGGTCCGTCTATTGTCCTTATTTCGATTCTTACTATATATTTACCCACTCTAGTATACGTGGTCATCTACAAATAAAATTTCTATGCATAATAATATTATCCCTTCCATTCTCTTTTTCCTCTGCAAACTGCTGTAGAGTTTTTTTCTACAAACATGTGCAATCGCGTGCTTTACCGTCTCGCAAAATGTAAGAAGAGCGACAGCCAACCAACGATAGATGAGAAACGAGTTAACCACATGACCAAATATTTAAATTCTCAATTTTCTCCACATAACTTGTAGGATTTACTTTAGAGTCTAGATGATTGTTGATCATGTTCAGTTTATTTAAGATGTTGTTTTTATCTTCATTGTACCCGAGACCATCCCTCACAATAATCTACTGTAGGATTCGCAGATTCAATTGTCTCGAAATCATATGTTTCATTTCTAAAAAAAAAGTTAAACTCGTAATTTAAGCAGGTCGAACATGAAGTTGCCTCTAATATCCTGCCATTTTGGAATTCTAAACTTTTATCACAGTTGCTATTTTCCACATCCACTTTTTCATCACATTTACAAAGTTTAAATTTATCTTAAGATATCCATTTACTCCTCACGTTTTTGTTTTCTACTTTACCGATTAGCTCATCATCTATTTTTGTCAAACATTTTATCATGTTACTTATGACGTTTTCTATGTCTTTTAATGATTAAACAACATTCATTACAATAAAATCAGTTTGCATCTGCAGTGTTTTTAAATCAAGTAAAATTTCTTATGTATTTCTAAGATAACCTGGGATGTCTTCACTAACTATTTTCATAAAGTCAGGGTTTTCATCATGCTATCCTTTTTCCTAATTATGATTTTGTTATCTTCTATAGAATTTAAATGTCCTACGATTTCTACCATCATATTACTCCTCACACCCACTTGTAAATAATTGTCTAGGTAGTTCCTTTCTTCACTACCTTACAGTCTGATAATACTAAACATTGAGTGTCATTGTCTTTAGAAAACATTATATGTCGATTATTCTTGTTTTGAAATAAATGGTATTCAATATTATTGAACTTTGTATGTTTATCAATTAAAATTCCTTTGGACACACTATCACTTCCTAGTTCATCAAACCCTTCTGGCCCTACAGTTCTAGGTAAATATGTAACTCCGTTAAAGTGTATATGTAGTGGATACTCAAAAATTTAAAGTAGTGAAGAAAGGAACTACTTTAGACAACTATTGACTAGTGGGTGTGCGGAGAAATATGATGGTAGAAATCGTAGGACATTTAAATTCAATAGAAGATAACAAAATCATCTTAATTAGGAAAAAGGAAGATAAGCATGATGAAAACCTTCACTTTAAGAAAATACTTAGTGAAGATATCCCAGGTTCTTTTAGAAAATATAAAAGAAATTTTAGTTGATTTAAAAACACTACAAATGCAAACTGATTTCAATATAATGAATGTTGTTGAATCATTATTAGAAAACGTCATATAACAGATGTGGGAAAATACGTCAACAAGTTCAGAGAAAAGGACAAGGAATCATCCACGACCGTGAGCCAGACAATGTTGGGCGTGTGGGGGAAAATCATTTGATGAGATATTGTCCTAATCAATTAACGACGATTTATAATGAAGCGATAAAGATACAAGAGATGATACGCCCAGATTAGGTGACGGGCGAATCACGACAGATTACCTTAAAGGGAGTTATCCAATGAGAGGGGTGAATGTAGATGTTAAAAAAATTTGAATAAAATTAAAGGAAAAACAAAGAGAGAGAAGGACGCATATATAATTTGAATGATTGAATTGCTGTAAAAGTTGTTTTACTATCTGATATTCTAATTTTTTTTGTGGTTATAAAAAGAAAAATTTGGTAAGAATTATTCATTAGTAGTTTTGGTTTTTTTTTAAAAAACTATATATGTCGTATGAGGATTAGTAATCTCTGGATTTTAAATCATTTACGGGCGATTTTTTGGATTTTAAAAATCTGATTTTACAGGAATTGACCAGCCATGTGTAGAATATTTACCCTATGAATTTCAGCCAATTTCAGCGATAGACATTTTAGTATTTTTTTTAAAATTTATATGAAAAATCCATATAAAAATTATTATAAATTAGAAAGTAGTTCTAAAGTTCAGGGCAAAATTGTTTGAAATTTATAGTTTGGGTACTCTACCCACGCTAGAATCCATTTCCGGTTAAATCGAACTTTAAAATTTTTGAGAAGAGAAGAGAAGACCGAATCCCAATACGATATATATATAAATTAATAAAGAAATTTTTGGTCAATTGTTAAATTAAAGAAGTTGATTCACAAAATTTTCTTTATTATAGATTAAATAGTTATAAAATTCTTCTTTTTTTAAAAAAAAACACAAAAAATAACATTGTGTAACAATGTATCCAAAATACATTTTAGCTAGAAAGCTAGAAAGAAAGAAAGAAACTATATTAGATATTTTTATAACTACGCTTCTAAATATAGATACAGATACAAATGTATATGTATCTAAATACATGTGGATAGATACGCATTAACCCAGCCAGTGGCATATCTAGTATTTTACTTTGGGTGGGGTAGGGGCCAAATTGCAGGTTGTTATCCCCTTAAAAACCGCCAACGAACCGATTTTAGTCAAAGAACATGATACAATTATAATAAGATAAGAGTATACAATATTAGCGAAAGCAATCTATCTAAGGTTTGAAACGATTAAGGATAAAACATAACGTGAAATAAAGGTTAGAGAACATCTGCAAAGATAAGATTATCCATTAAAGGAACCTGTTTTGAAAACAGGCTCATCCCGGATTCATTTTCCCACCGATCTGGGTGTGCAATAGAATTAATCATTTTTTTTCGAGAGTCCGAGTGTGTGGGTAGGACCTTCGAGTCTCGAATCTCGGTGTCAGTAATCTTCAAGAAATTGAAGAGATCGCCCTTCTAAAAGTATTCTCATTTAAAATCAATATCGCCAATAAAAGAGATAAAGTATATATATAGCATGCTATTTTTTACCAATATAAATGATTTTCTGTCAGAATTCGGAATGCCAAAGCTTGAGCCCTGTCCCTGTCACTGAACTGCAGATTCAGGTTAACGTCGAAAACGCTGGACAAGTGATCTATCGCTATCTGGGAATCGCCCATGATGCTCCCTTTGTATTCGACCCAAGGGATGTATCCGCGCGGAGATCTCAAAAAACTGAGCTCGTTCTAAAAGTTTGAATTTACAAAACGTTTTTTTATAAAATAATTTAATTTATGACATTCTGGATTTTTTTTAAAGTTTCAGATTTTCTAGATCAATCTTGCCCCGGTGCAACGGCTGTTAAAGCCCCGAAAATGGGCCTAAAGCCGGGTTGAGCTGGGACCTAAAAGAGCTGGATGGGGGTTAAAAAAATAAGTATCGAAAAACAATTCGAATTCGTTACATTTCATCATTATGTTTACATCTCCCCATGGACAGAGGCCATTTTTTTTTATTAAACAAAATTTTGAATAAATTTTATTAAAATGATATCACAATTTTAGGTTCGGTTTTATAATAAAAAAAATTAGGGACCTTTACAAATTTTTCAAAAAAAAAATTTTGTCGAAAAATTATGTAATGTCCAACTGCTCCAAAAATACTTCTATACTTTTTTTCCGCTATGATTGATGATGAAATTAACGCTAATTATATGCGTTAATATACGCACACTTAAAGTCCGCCCGCCATTGAAAGACGTTTAGACGAAATGCCCTTTCGTTCTTACCACTAGAGCCAATTACATCAGTCACAGCTGACTTCAATGTATATGCGCACGCATTTGATAAACTCGCCAATCTATGTTCAGTATTATCGCCACTGATATTTGGCGCGTTGTTATGGTTAAGGTTCTTTAAACCCGATTTTAATAGTAATATTAAAAAAAAAAAAATTTGTTCGCGTTTTCCCAATTGATTTTTAATAAGTTAAGAAAATTTTCTTGACGGTATAAAGTAAGAAAGAAGAGCTTTAAAAATATAGATAGAATAGGAACGAAAGATGAGATTGCCAAAGAGGTAATCAAACGAATAGATAAAATTTATATGGTTTAAAATCGTTAATATCGAATTCAGCCAAGTGGAACCATATATTCCACCAGATTCTAATAGGCTCCCCCCAGACTTTATATTCTAAATTATTCCAAACATAAACAACAACAAATTTTTAAGGTATTTTTTTTATAATTCCTCGTAGAAGTAAAGAAGGGAAGATAGTTTAGAATTGGCACTTTGATCCTGAGGTTTCTCTTGTACAATATTTCTTTAACCATGATTTATAAAACTTTTGTCTATGGAAACAGTTATAGACTACTCGAGTTTAATGCGTCATATATATATATTTGTCCATGAAATCGATTCAATACTCAATGGAAGCGTGGTAATATATTTTTTTTTGAAAAAAAAACAGCTCAATAAAGAAAATTGAGAAAGAAAAAAATTTTTTTAAATGAAATGCAAATAATATTTTTTAAAAAAAGGAAGGAAGAAGAATACATTCAAAATGGAATTCTATTGGCCAAAAACTTTTACTTTTCCATTAAAAAAAAAATTAGGCTTATTAATTCGTGTTTGGACACGGGTAATGATGTATAGCGTAGCTCTGGTCGTCATGTAACAATTTTCTAAACAACGACGAAATTTTTATTTTAAACCCCACTTATTTATTAATATATTATGTATAAATCGTACCCCGTAACGTGCAACCCCACTTCAGGAAAAAAGGAACCCTGGTCCTTGCTGGATTCGAACTCAGCATGCATTCATCGACTGGTCCGCAGACGCTACTCCAAAAACAACAATTTTATTTAGTATTTTTTTTAAGGATAAAATTAAGACGCTATCTAAATTTTTTTCAATCAATAACGTTTAGATGCTAAACATTTTATTAACACCTCCCCCCCACCTCTTTAGACACAGGGTTAGAAATCCAATTAGTAGTGATGTTAAATCACCTAACTTTGGCTAACTCCAATATGACGTGGTCAGGATGACTTAAACGTCCAAGTTTAGCCTCAACTTAATGATAAGAGAGATGCCATATTTTTTTTAGCATGACAACTTGGCTGAGCCGACAGGTCATAACACAACACTACCAATTAGAAATAGAAATAAAAACATGTTGTAAATGAGAATGTAAAATTAAAAGAAAGAAAAATAAAAATTAATCGATAAAATATAAATAAAATAATTGCAGCTTTTCAAATTTTGTGCTTCGATAAAAATAAAAAAAATATTCAAAAAAATTTTTTTTTTTCGTTTATATATAAACATGGAAAAAATAAAATTTACAATGATAAATAAATTACTAATTTTTTTATGTTTTGTTAAAGGCTATGTCCTAAATCTTTTTTAAAAAATTTCGAAAAATTTGAAAACTTCTAAAAATTTATTTTCTATTTTCAAAAAAGTTTACTAATCGATATTTTTCGAAATTCCTTTTTTTCCGTTAGAGTTTAATTTTAGACAGGAATCCCATATGTTGTGTAATGGCGATATACCAAAAAGTTTACATAAAAAATTTTGAATGACATTTATCAATCGAAAATCGATTGATAATATATTCTTTAAAACAATTGGGGATAGATTAAATTAGAATTTTAGCGATATATTAGTATGTTTTATAAACAGGAAATCATGAGGCCAGAACCGGTTCAGAAGCATTGAAGCAGTTCAGTTTTCAATAAGAATTACCGGTTAGTTCGGTCCAGGGTCGGTTTGGATCCATTCAAATAATTTAATGAAATTTTTATTTTACCTCTAAAAAGAAAAGATACAATGACTAACAATTATAATTTTAAAGAAAAGGAAAATCGATTTAAAGAGGGGATACGCCACCGAGGCACTTGCGGTATTGGCTTATTATGTTCGAAAGCGAATGCGAATCGAATAACGAATAATTTGTATTCGATTCTTTTAAACAGATTGAATAATTTCACTATTCGGAATTATACCGTCCGAATACGAATAGTATATTTTTACTATTCGTGTACGAATACGAATAGTAAATCATACAATTCGTTTTACAACAAATAATCCGTTATTCGATTCGCGTATTCCGTTTTATTAGGATAATACCCATTTCTTTTTCTTTCTTTCTTTCCTCCTTTCTTTCTTTCTTTCTTTCTTTCTTTCTTTCCTCCTTTCTTTCTTTCTTTCTTTCTTTCTTTCTTTCTTTCTTGTATTGTTGTCAATTTATTTTTTATAGCCTTAATTACTTTCAAAATTTCGTTTCGGGGAATCAAATTTAATGTGAAGGAATATAAATCGATACGAGAAAATAAATTGACCTTCATTTAGTGCGAACTAATTCTGCGTTTGCGTTGCTTGTGCAAAACGCAAAAAAAAGTTATTCAAATGGTATCAGACAAATTTTAGCATTTAAAAAGCGAACTGATATTTTGTTCGTCCGAAAAGGCCAATCAGATCGCAACTATAAAACTTTATTAAAAATTCAATGGCGTTTTTTCTCTAGGCTTAAATTATAAAATTTTCGAAAAAAATTGAAGGGATCTCTGATTTAAATCAATTCGATTTAATTCTTTTCAAACCTAATGTCAATCAATCATAAATTTTTTTTAATATAACATATGATCGATCATATATCAATGAGTTTATTATTATTTTTTTTAAAAAAAGAAGAAAAAAAAATTTAATTTATAGATGTTCCTTAAAGGCTTATTAAAATATTTTTATTTAAAAAAATAAATAATTCAACATTGAACCAATTTAAAACAATATTTGACAAAATTTTACCATTTATATTTAAAATACAAATTTTAATGAAACGTAAGTTAATTACGATAATTATTATAGTAATGGTATAAGAGGGATACGTATTAAATGGACCTTTTTGCTTCCCTCAAATATAGCAATTATGATTCAAGGAATTGATGAAAAAATATTCCATAAATATTTGCACTTAGCTTATTGTCGTTTTAAGCGATTTATTCTGAAACCTGGCAAAAACCCTAATCAAATTTATCAGCCTAAAGGGCACTAAAAACGATTTAGAAGGATTTTTTGATAAATTAGCTTTGAAATCGTACATTATGATGTTTAATTATATAAAGATCCCTTGCCATTACCTAACACTTTTAAAATATGTTAAAATTGCCATTTGAGATGTGAAAATAAGTATGATAACATTTCCCATAAAAGTTGAATTATTGCCATCTTATAAATAGTAATAATTAAGGCTATCAGGAAGAAGTGTACCGCTAATCAGGTTCCCCTAGGTAATCTAGACAATATTGTGGGAATGTGCTTAGCCAAGAATGTGCTAGCCCATAATAAATGACCAGGATCATTATAATAATTTTTATTTATTTGGAATTATAGAATTATATTAAATATTATCAGAAGTAACCTCAACGGGGCAGATAAGATATGTTATCTATATTTATATAATTTTTGTAAATTTTGATTTACACATATACATCATGATATAATTTTTTTTTTAAAATGTTGAATGGAGAAATCAAATATTAAATACTATAATTACTTCATATGAAATATTAGCCATCCTTAAGAATGTTTCAATTTTCATGGAATGATATGATAAATTAGGTATATATTTAGCTCGGGGTATTTGGTGTAAAATAACAATATCTTTTGAAGCTTTTGTCTTTTTCCTATAAATATAATTTATATGTAAATGCAATTTTTTATTGAAAATATTTCAATAAATTACTTGAAGTAATGAGCTTTTAAGTACCATATACCATGTCCTACTATAATTGCACCTCCTAAAACTAATATCGTTTGCTTAATACCAGTTTCATGGTCTCTATATGCCTGGAAACCAGTTTCATATAATTTTGACATAATTAAAAATTAAAAAAAAACAGCTTTCACATTTTTTTGAGGTATGTTTTTATGAGTGTATGATTAATCATATTTGCCAGATGATTTAATTTTCATATATTGATTAGTGCGAAGCGAACTCGTTATTACCAACAGGTTATTTAAAATATAACTCGAAATTCAAATTATTTGATCATAATTTGATGACCTAACACGATTTAAAAATATTTTATAAATAATATATAAAAGATATTAGAGATTCATATTTATATATCAAATTTAAAAAATAATAATTTAGAAAATAGATTAAAATTTAACATTTTAAAATCCTCCTCAAAATTCGAAAAGAGGCTAATAAAAAAAAGCAGAAGCTTTGTCCCCCGTACTCCCCTCACATTGCACACCTTGTTATATGTAAATCCATTATTGTAACAAAATTACTATAAATAGAAGAACAATAATCATATAGTTACACATACCCTAAACTTAACTGCTTATTGTAAGCCGCACTTTACAATATAATAGGTTAATCCATATAGCTTCAAAATAGATAAAATATCTTTGTAAAAACAACATAAATAATGATATTAGGTTATTTATTTTGATAATCCATAGAGCGAGATCTTGGACATAGGTAGTGTTGTTAATCGGCTCATTTCGAGCCGATTTTTAAAAACGGCTAACTCAATATTTTATTAGGAAAAATATTATGCAAGCCTTAAGATTTTATTCATAGGTGCCACAAAGAGTTGAACATCTATTAACTAAATCTCGAGTTTAGATAATATTTTTCTGGCTAAAATATTGAGTTAGCAGTTTTTAAAAATGGGCTCATTTAGAGCCGTTTAACAACACTAGAAATAGGGCTACAACATATAATTATAAAGTTGTCTACCTTAACTAACACCATTTCACCAATCCTAATTTATGCAAATTTGAAAGTTTTTAAATATTAATCCCGCGCGTGAATGGAAAAAAATCAAAAAACATTAGTAGATTATATTGTGATATGTGGCTTGGATTCGAATAAACGATTAGAACGTGCTAATGCTATAGGTACACTTTGATCCTAATTATTTTAAGTATAACTACAATATTATTCATAGAAGATCAAAATATTTATAAATCCCCCTTGGATATATCTTATAATTCCAATATTTTATGCCATTTTCCTCCAAATAATCCATGTGTACAGTTTGATTCGCAAGCAGTTGGAATGGTTTGATATTTATAGTTAAAAATACAAAAAATAGTTCTTTAATATATCTTGTTTTATATATATATATAGTTGATAGCATAGTAAGATCATAAAAATTCTCTATAAATTTAGAGATGGTTTAATCTTTTTAATTATTCTTTAATATTTTTTTTGTTTCGAATTCATATTATATTTTCTAAATTTTTATTTTAGAAAATAAACCCCATAATAGTAAATATTTCATTTTAAATAATTTTTGACTTTATTTAATATATAGAGGTAAGTTAATATTTATTAGGTATATTAGAGATTAATGTTATATGTTTAGATAGTTGGTGATATCTATATTTCTAGCTGTGATGTCTAAATCTGTTTCTAGTGAAGGCTAAAGACTGGAGAGAAATAAATAGATTAGGCTGGACCTAAGACAAATAATAATATAAAAACAAGATTAAATGACCAAAAGACAGATATTAAAAGACTGAGCTATTTTTTTTGCCATGTAAAACTGCCATTTATACTTGGGTCCAAAATATTCATGAACTATTAAATGCTATGCCTTGAACTTGACTTTTTTAATTTTGTTCTTTTAATAAATGAAAATTTAAAAAATAATTTTAACAAAAATAAAGGAAAATGGCATTTTTTAAATCTTAGTACTTGTTTTCTTATTTTATTTTATATTACTTTTTAATATTAATATATTATTTTTTTGCATTTTTCACCAGCTTGTCAACTCTTAAGTGACTACTTTATGGAGTTGAAGGTTAGGTCAATATATTTAGAAGTATTTTAAATAGCTGATTATATAAAATAATTTGAAGTACATAATTTCATCGTGACAAAGAAATAATTAAAATAATAATTCTTTAAATTTAGCTTTACAATCAAATGAATATCTTATTTAATTAAATATTATTTTTTTTATAAATATAGGTGCAAATCAAATTAAAACATTTAGTATTTAATTTTTTTTTTAACCCTAGACCAAAAGATTGGATATAGACCCAACCGATTTTAGAAATGATGGTCCAGTTATTGGCCTAACAGTTCTGACCATTCAGTATCAGGCTTCTATCATGAAAATGATTGGCATCAACGTTAAAAGATACTTTAGTAAACATAAAATCGTAGTTACATCATAGCCTAATTATTTGAACATTGCCATAACCTAGAGCCATTGGTATCATATCAAATCTAAGGAGACAGGAACAATAGCCACGACATATTTAGACGAAAATGCCTTTCAGATTTTGCCCTAATTGTCATTCAACTTGCTGACATCCACACTTTTTTTATATTTTTAATGAATGAAGCGTCATTTTAGGTTGACATTTATGTCAGTTGTTGACAAGCGAAATCATGTTCATTTTTTGCTTCACTTTGAGCCTGGCATATAAGAATTTGATGGAGTTACTATCAGAATAATTACATTTTTATAAGATAATCTTTGATTCAAATTTGCGGGTCTGTAAAAATATATATGGTTTTTTTTAAACAGACATCAAATTTGTATTGTTAAATATTTTTAATGAAGAAATTAAATAATTTCTTTTTTAGCACACTTGTCTTGTTTGTGTCGGAAGTTAATGGTAGAGAAAAAATTATGAATATATCTTAATTTGGCACTCTTCATGGGTCGGGTTTGGAAATTTATTTAATATTAAATAAAGGCCTTATCCTGGACCTAGAAATTTGTTTTTTTTTGCTGCTGGCTTTGATTAATAAATTAAGGCTCAAGAAGAAATCATGATAGAATATTCAAAAGAAGGTTCCTCTGGGAACATATCGAATATTTACGATTTGCGAATAATTTCGATTCGGTTTTTTTAATATTCGTAAAATACGAATCGAAAACGAATAACGAATGATTCGTTACCAGCTGTTAGAGACAGTAAATCGTCAAAAAAAAATATTTCAATCTCAATAATTTCCTTTTATTTTTATTTTTTGGGTTAGTTATGCATGCCTCGTGGAGTAACTTTTAAAAGATTTTCTCATAATTCTGCAGCTGATTTGCACTCCCCCACAGTTAAAAATTACGACTCTGCGACGTCGAACCAATTCCATTCTTTTGTCGTTACACGGGAAAATGGTTCTCTCTATTACGGATTCGTCCTGACCTATCATAGAAGGGTATGGGAAACAGATGTTATTAACTATTTCAGGGGTCAAAACGTACTTTATTTAGCTAATTTGAGCAGGAAAGCTCTCCTGGAAATAAACGAATTATCGGTATCAGGACACGAAAAGTCGAAAATGGTCGGTGATATTCGGCAAAATGTAACTACACCATTTTTTTTGTGTTGACTTGTGGAAATATTTATTATGCATATTTAAGGGTATAGTCGATAAAAATTATATCTCGTAGAGGCTCTTTAATTCTCAGCATTTGCGTTCTTGATTTTTAAAAGAGCTAATAGAAATGTTTTATGAAGACTTCTAGAATTTATTTTAGATACTTAATTACACTCTCTTTTTAAGCATGTCGTATATAGAAAAGTAACGATCGATATTTTTTATGTAACTATCGTTTCTAGAACGAAGATTCTGACGGATTTACGAATGAGAAGGAGTCCGAACGAGCCAAGTCGAACGATGTTAACCTCGCTTCCGATGCTACCGTCGACTCGGGTAATTAATTTTCTTAGGGCTATATAATAATAAATGAGACTGACCAATCATACACGACTTCCCATACACTACACAATAGTCATAAAGTTTCCTCTCATTAACTATTCTCTTTAATCACTATAATTACAGATTTTCCAGGAGTCAACTACCCTAACGCTACTCCTATCGACTATTACAAGTCAAATCACATTTATAATTATGTTAAATTTATTATGACTATTTAGATTATTGGAGTTGCTAGTCAAAATTTTATAAATAAGAATTATTAAATATTTACGTAGTATTTGCTTTAATTTACATAGATTTCATATATTTTTCAAGTAGAGCGTTTCAATAATCAACGAGTAATTTATAAATTAACTAACCTATAAAACACAAATTTTTCCCTATAAGGTGTTATTACGATTCGAACAGTGGGACGAATAAAGAAACCATTTCTCCCCTCAAAATGAGCGATAAGAAAATCGAGATGACTTATTCGATGGAAGGCGTGTCAGAGACTGAAGCAAGTGAATACTGTGTGTATATAAGATACTAATAATTTTACCTCAATACTCAATGCCAAAAACAGTTAAATAACTATGAATTACAGCTTATTTCGTTGGACCTAGAACCCGTCCGCCAACTTCCGCTACGGGCTGGTTCGAAATTTATAGATAAATGGGTGGGTGGGTTAATTAAAACAACGAGCGGGCTTTTTGGCTAAAAACCTTCCCAATTGTAGACCTTTTTGGACCTGTCTTCTTTTCTGACTCGACCAATCTAACTATTTTTTTTAAAGATTCATCCCATCTTGACAGTTAGGAGTTAAGATAAATATTAGGTTTGTTTTTTCAAAGAAGAGGAAAATGTACAGCACACAATGAAAATTTTAAAAAATATTTGGTACTTCTTGAAGAATAAAATTAAATCATGGTAGAATTGAATCCTAAAGAATATCTATCCAACAGACCCGTCAATTTGACGGAAGGTCCATGTGGGCTTTACTACTAGCGCTGTTAAAAAGCCCGATTCGGGTCCATTTAGGCTAAAATCTTATTCGGGCTTTTTAACAACACACTATTTACTACTAAATGATTGGTCGAAAAAAAAATTATTTTTGCGTTAAAACTAGATTTTAAAAAAATCTTCTATAAAATAGTTAAGTTTAAAAAAAAAGGATAATTATAACATACGATCAGTTTTCAATATGATTGGCAGACCTGTTTTTTTTTAAATATAAAAATCAAAAAAAATCAAATTTTTTTTTTGGATTTAAATCAACATTTTTTTTTACAAATAAATATTTAAATCAAATTTATAATAAAATATATCCTAGAGAAAATTACTCCTCACGGAAAATTTATTTATTTATCCCCCGCGAAATTTGTACATAAACTTTTTGTTGAATTGGCAAATATTAAAGATTCATAAAATAATACATAATTAAATTATTTAAATTTGATTAATATTTTTATATAATCTTTAAAATACAAAAAATAATTCATATAAATAGTAAATGTTATTCAAAAAATTGTTTGATTTTAATCAATTCCAGTTTAATCGAGCAAACTCTAGTCTTCAAACTTCTCTCTCTTCTGAAGAGGGGGGGGGGAAGGCCACGCTAGAGAATGTGATTGAACAGTGATCCCCTTTTCTCGAATATTCGCCTTTATATTTATTTACTCCATAAGATAACCTATCAAAAGAAAGTATTAAAGAGGAATCGTTCGAATCCGATCGTGATGAAAACAACAACGAGCTTCCTAAAACTGAAGAACGTATTCGTAAAAAAATTAGCCGTCATAAGGGTAATAATGATGTGATAAGAATGGGAAAGTATTCTAGCCATTTCGACGAACACGATTCGAGGTCATGGTCCTTTTCTATACCTCAAGTAGAGCGCCAACTGAAGATGACGGATAATACGGTCTGCGAATTATATACCTAATTCTATAAACTAGTGTTGTTTAAACAGCTGTTCAATATTTCGTCCAGAAAATTTATTACACAAACCTGAAGATTTTGCTCGTAGTAGGAACAAAGGGTCTGGACATATTGTCAGCGAAATATCATAGGCTTGGGCAATATTTTTCTGGCCAAAATATTGAGTTAGCCGTTTAAATAAATAATCGGCTCTAAACGAGCACTAATACTTTAGAAATGTGATGATAAGTTTAACCGATTAACGTTCCATCTTAACAAGCTCGGCTCCAATAAAGCCATTACATTCGGAGTTCAGTGCTTCTAATATTTAAATACGGGATATGAATTTCCGCAGAAAATTATCATTTATTTTAACCCGAGTTTATAGCCTTATTTAGTTTTATTTTTTTTTAAAATGCAAATCAGATTCAGTGCTGATAATTATAAGAATTTCTAAGCAAAAAATGATTGTATTCCTTCTTCGTTTATCTTATTATTTTTTTATTACAAATAATCTTTCTCTTTTTATATACACACGCATACAGAATGAAAGACAGTTGCTATTGAATGCCTCGAAAAACAATTGTGAGTCAATTTTATGCACATGTTTTTTTTTATAAGTTTAAGTATTTATTCGATATAAAATTTATGTATTTCAGTTTGACTTTGAGAAATCTAAACGTTATATGTCAGGAAAACTTTTGCTGAATCTAAACTTAAAAATTTCTCGACTGAAATAAAGTGTTCTGACGTGTCCCCTGTTCTGTTTGGCCCCAGCCTCTCCTTTTATAGGCCGTTCCTAGTGCTGTTAAACGGCTCGTTTTGAGCCGATTTTTAAAAAACGGCAGATTCAATATTTTGGCTAGAAAAATATTGACTTAAGGCCGCATTCATAGTGGACCCGAGCCGACACGATTTAACAGCTGATCGATTTTTAAAATATGTTTATGAGATCAATTTTTTTTTTAAATAACATTAATTTTATCTTTAATTCTATACGTGATAATAACCTAAGAAATGTTGGTTTTAATAAAGAAAAATTGATTCTCATAAACCGGTTTTAAAAATCGACCAGCTGTTAAATCGTGTCGGATCGGATCCACTATGAATGCGGCCTAAACCGATTTCGAATGTACATGTCTGAACCTTTGTTCCTTCCACGAACAAAATCTTCAGGGCTTGCGTACTATTTTTCTGGATGAAATATTGAGTTGGCCGTAATCGCCTCGAAACGAGCCGTCGTCTCTATTTAAGGGCGCCATTATCGAATTTGACCGATTGCGATATCGACAAATTAAGTTCGGATATTCGAATTTCGTTAGTGGCAAATTAAGTTCGGATATTAACCGATTCGAATTTCGATATCGATAAATTAAGTTCCGATATTGATCGATTCGAGATTCGATATCGACAAATTAAGTTCGGAAGGATAACCGATATCCTTATTTTAACATATTTTTCTTTGTTTTCAATATTTCATGAATTTTTTTCCCTCCCAACAATAAAAAATCAAAAATATTAATTATGATATTATTATAAGTTTTAAAAATTAATAAAAGTATCGATTAGGTCACTTTTTTCTGGAATAGATTTGGCAATAATGTTCCTAACTATGGAACTATTAGAGAATCAAGTATTCTATTTCCTTTTTTTCTCGAAATTGAATTGGGAATCAAAATTTTACCTCATTAACCCCCCCCCCCTTTACATTAGTAAATAGTTGTCATAATGTTAACCACCAGATGTAGTGTTACTTTATTTTTCCTTCCAAAGAATGGATTTTCAGTTAAAATAAAATTGATCGAGATGTAGCTGGAATGATATAATAATAAAATAGCCACATTGTTTATAGGGCATTATGGCGCATGGAATTTTAATAAAAAAAATTTCTTAATCTGGCCTGTGATTGGCCCGACCTTTGTTTGCATAAATTGTCCACCATAGCCCGATATATTTTCGTCATGGCAAAAATTACCCTCCACCCCCCTTTCCTTAATTCAAATAATAAAAATGTTCGATGATTCGAAGATGTATATTATTTAGGTGATTTGTTCTAGATTTCGTGATCATATTGTTGTTACGCGCGTGCGCATTTGAAATAAATTATAGGGGAAAAATAATAATATGTATACTAGGTAGCAACTCCCATTTTTTGCGATATTATAATTGTCAGTAAATATAATCGATTTTATTTAATTTTGTCCATAGAGCTCTCGCCAGGATTTTTCCAAGGGAGGGGGCTTGTGTTTTTCACCTTATTTTTTTTTGTAAATATAAAAACGCTTATCACACTAAAATATTCAGTTTGGATCATTATTTTTTTAAAAAAAAATTTATAACTTTTGCTTTGCTTTTCTTTCAATATAGTGCGCCGGGAACATGGGAATTTCTGAAAAGGAGATTTTTCATTACCCCCTTCCCTCCACCACATTCTCCGGCTACACTTATGTATTTGTCATAAAAGATAAATAGATAAAATGCCTGACAATTTTAAAAAACAAAATACCTTTAATTTATCGCCTTAAACTTAAAAATGTATGTGAAACGAAGATTTTGATGACATGAACTTATACGATAGTGACACGGATACGCTGTACGTTTCCGAGTGCGTGTGCCTCTTGTCTAGAAATCCGATTGCTGGTGCCTACAAGAAGATTTTGAACCTTATTTTCGATATAGTATCACTCCAAAAGAGCGACAAACGTGAAGATACTCAGAGGTATATTTATAATTGATTAGTGTTATAAACGTTACTTCTAAAAAAAACGGTACCTCGTTACCTTTCGAAACAAGTAACGAGTTCCTTTTCCTCAAAAAAGGGTAACGCCGTTAGTAACTACATTACTTTCATCGCCGTTACTTTACAGTTACTATTCATAATCACTTAAAGTTAGTATTGAAAGATATTGATATCTTGGAGGAATATTTAGTGGAATATGTGTAAAAGGACTGCACAAATCCACAATTTTTTTACCTATCCGATATTTAGTTCGGCACTTATACCGATCCGATACCGATACTTTAATTATTTTTTTGTCATTATTTTATAATAATATAAGATAATGAAATTAGAAACTTTTTTTTGATAAATGATTTAATCAGAATAAGTCACTTATCCTGGCTCTTAAAAATCAAAAAAAAAAAGTTGAAAGCTTTAAAATTCTAAAAAATGTGTTTTTTAGCTTTAAATTTGTAGAAAGTTCGTTATTTATAGTAAATAATGTCATATTTTATTAAGTTGTAGCCCCTTAGAGAATAATTATACATATATTATATCTTGTTGACGATCAGAATTTTCACTTCTGTGTTCTGTTTAGTGTTCCCGAACGACTCATTTTGAACCGATTCTTAAAAACGGCCAACTCAATATTTCATCCAAAAAAATATTTCACAAAAACCTGAAGATTTTGCTAGGGTCCTCTTTTAGAAAGACTATTATAAAATGTACAGTCGGAGAAATCTCCAAAGCTATTCGCTTCAAATTGAACTCCGCTGGAGGTCTCGATGGTAAAAGACATATTTATCTACGAGATATAATAAATATACACAATGCCTGTTCAAATATATTGATACGAGTAATAACAGGATATCAGCAACCTTGATACTCAATTTGGGCTCGGATCCAGGGAAAACGATTTTTTCTCTATGTTTACTAGGTATTTCAGTGCTACAGAGTATATAGAAGATCAGAAGGTAGCACATGATTTGGGGAAAACAATATATTTTGATAAAAATTTGGCTGCTGTTATTGCTATAAGAAGACCGACGGCATGTATTATTATTCGGCTCTAAAAAAATGTAACGATATTTTAAACTTTTATTTGGCTCATTGCCAAGGTGATTCAATATTCCTGAACGGTTATCCAACATTTCTCATTTAAATCTTAGAGACACGCATCCTCAAAGTAAATACTCGTAACTTCATCATTTAGGTTGCAAAGAACAAAAAATGTATAATACTTTTGTAATAACTAAATGTTCTGGCCAAATATTTTGGTTATTTCATAATCGATTATATTTAATTTTGAAATATTGGTTAAGTTTTTATATAATTTGTCTTAAAAGTAATACGCTGCTCTAATTTACTGTTTAAAGAAAATCATCATAACGTAGGTTGCACCAGGCTACTAGCGGCGCGATAAATTACACGCAGATTCAGGGATCCAAACCGAAACGAATATCGGTTCAGGTTCGGGTTCGGATAAAAATAACGGTTCAGGTTCGGTTCGTAAAAAATTAAAATATCGGCTCGGTTCAAATTTTTAAAAACCGGTTTGAACACTTTTGTATCCAAACCTACATTCGAATTATGTATAGGGAAAATATTTTTTTTATTTCATCATTAATTTAAAAAAACACATGTATAAAACCTTCATTTTTATTAATTGCACATTATAAAATAATATTTAATTTATAAATATAAAAATAAGAATAAGAATATATATCAATGATTAATTTTAATATGAACAATATTTTACTCTTTTTTTTTACTTAAATTTTTTTTATTAAGCCGCACAATTAATATATTTTCAAAATTCGTCTCACTCAAATTACATCTATAAGGAGATAATATAAATTAAATTGTTGAAAAACATCTTTCCACACTAACTTTGATAGCCGGCACTGCCAATATGATATCAGATTTGATGTGTCATTTATAATAATATTTTGGATTTAATTTTTCTCTAATTTATAAGCTTAAAATATTTTAAAAAAATTTTGTAAAATTGACTAATATACTAAAGTTTATAAAAATTATGACCGACAATTATCAATCAAATGTGATTGATGATAATCTTTAAAATAATTTGAATGTAATTGAAATTTTTTCAATATATTAATAATAACTTACATATTTATTTTAAGCATAAAATCATGAAGCTCAAACTGGTTCAGAGACATTATAGCGGTTCGGCTGAAGTTCGGCATGAATTTTTTTAGCGGTTTATGTTCGGTTCAGGTTCGATAAAAATAAAGGGTTTTAGCGGTTTACCGGTTCGGTTTGGATTCCTGGTTCCTCTGCACTTCTTATGCTTTCCATAAAATAAATTTCTGACACTAAAATACATTAATATAAAAGCCTATAATCGTTGGGATTAGTAAATTTATAAAAATTAAATAGCATTAAAAATTGTACCTACTAATTTTTTTTATAAAAATTTCACAAATAAATACATTGTTATGAATACCGAAAGAAATTGGATATTATTTTATTTTTACAATAAAAATAGCTTTATTCTTCAAAATTTATTTATTTATATTTTTAAGATTTTGGAATGCAGCCTCAAACAATGCCTACTTTATTTTCCATAACTAAATTAAAACAATCATAATTTTTGGCTATTTTTACCCTTTTTCTAAAGAGTGAATACAGATAAAATAAAAATAATTTATTAATCAGAGATACCAGTAAAAGATACCATTTGCACTGTCCGGCCCAAAGAAAGAAAGAATAAATAGATAGATAATTGACCAATACGGTAAATAATTTCAGGCCCGGCACGGTTATATATAAGGAAAATTAAAATACGGCCCGGACCGAGCTTTGGGCCGCGGCCTGCAGGTCTCTCACATTAATAATCAAAATAATAATTGATACATAATTCTTTCAAAATAAAAAAAAATACACAACAGGACTCATCATGGGTCTTGCAAATAATATAATCAAAATTCACGCGCCATTGTTACAAACCCGAATTAATGCGCGTGAAAAAAAACTCCCGATTGCGACATCGAATATAATAGTCGATTTTTTTAAAATGGCGCTATCCCAACATTTTAACCAAAAAGGTATTACGCGAGCCTGATGATTTTTCTCATGAGTGGCAGGAAAGTTTGGACATCTATTATCGACAATCTCGTGGCTTTCGTAATATTTATTTTGACCAAAATCTTGATTTAAAACCGGTTAAATCGGTCCGTTTAACAACAATCCGGCGGTTTAATAATCGTTTTATTGCTCACATTTTCTGTCCTTTTAGAAATATTTTCGAAAATTCTTTTAAAAAGACGTTTTTAATCTCCCATTCTATATACGATGATTTTTGCGTGGTTATGGTTTAGCATTTGTTATTTGGTTTGAAAAATTTATTATTTTATTCCTTTAGAAGGATATAAAAAATATATATTTCCCTTTTTCTGGTGAGATCAATGACATATATAATATATAGACTGAGACGGTTCGTTCATTAAAAGTGTACATCAAATGCAAATCAGCTGGAGACGCCATCTTGGTTACACTAATCATTATTAAAATTTTGAACGTGATGCAAACTTTATTAAAGAATTACCGGATCATCGAGATAATAAGGAAGCAAGTTATCAATTTAATAGCAGTTTTTAACATGAGATATAATTACTATACGTGTTACCAAAATGGCGGGTCCAGCTGATTTGCTTTTAACGACGCTTAAAAAAGGGCCGCATTCATCGCGGGATCCGATCCGTCTTTATTTTAACAGCTGATCGACTTCTAAAGTAGATTTGTGGGGACCAATTTATCTCTTTTAATTCTATTCCTGAATAATAATTCTAAGAATTATATTGCATAAACTGAAATTGATCAGCTGTTATATTGTGTCTGATCAGATCTCAACATGAATCTAGCCTAATTAACGGCATCAACGTTTGAGGGAAAACGTAAAACGTTACTCGTTTACTTAAAAATTAATATTTTTTTTATAAAAAAAATAAATAATTTAAAATCAGGTTTTCGACTCAGACCAACCACCTAAATTCTGCTAATATATCGTCGGTATAGAATTGGAATGCTCCATTCCACATTTTCAAAATTTTTTGAGTTAGAAGTGGATAATATACTTATTTATTCCCAATATATAATATAAAAATAAAAACCAGATTATAAATATATTAATTTTTTGCCTAGGTTATTGTCAAAATTTGATCAATAACTTTTTCCTATATTTGATTTTAAATTTAAATTTTGATTTTCTCATCTTAAATATTCAAAATTTTTGAATTAGAAGTGGATAATAATTTATTTATTCCCAATATATATAAAAATAAAAAAATATTAATTATTTTTGCCAAAGTTATTGTCAAAATTTGATCAATAACTTTTTCCTATATTTTATTTTAAATTTTAATTTTGATTTTCTCATCTTAAATATTCAAAATTTTTGAATTAGAAGTGGATAATAATTTATTTATTCCCAATATATAATAAAAATAAGAACTAGACTAAAAAAATATTAATTTTTTGCTTAGGTTATTGTCAAAATTTGATCAATAACTTTTTCCTTATATTTAATTTTGATTTTCTCATCTTAAATATTCAAAATTTTTGAATTAGAAGTGGATAATAATTTATTTATTCCCAATATATATAAAAATAAAAACTAGATTTAAATATATTAATTTTTGCCTAGATTATTGTCAAAATTTGATCAATAACTTTTTCCTATATTTTATTTTAAACTATAATGTTTATTTTCTCATTTTAGATCAATTTAAAAAAAAATCTATCATCCAAAGAAAAACTTAAAAGTAATATAATGTAATATAAAAAATATATAACCTCCCTACCCGATAATAGTTTTTTTAAAAAAATATATAATATGACTTTGTTATTTACAAGCCTGGACCTGATCAGCACACAAATTGTCCAAATATTAACGTGGATTCGAATGTGGATTACTATAAAATAATTATTCTTTATTCCAATCAACAATTCGTGATTCATCAAATGATCCTATATTCCTATTCGCTAATACTATTACCTAGAAATCCTTTTGAGGATGCGTTAAACCTTGATATTAAAAAAAATTAAAACTTGAAACGAATACCATTCGCAATTTACCATTATTCAAAATATAACCATTTAAAATAATTTTTTAATTTCAATCATATGTTTTATTGTTAATATAAATAGGATAAAGTTTAATAAAATTTAAAATAGTATTGCGCCATCTAGCGGACTAAAATTTAACAAATAATATTATTTTTATTTAATAATTTTTAATTTAATTTTATTAAAAGATTTACTTCGACGATTAAATAGATTAATGAAAATATAATTATCTAACTTTTGTTCTTTTTTAAAAAAATTAAATATAGTAATTTAATTTTAATGACTTGTTTATGCGTTAAAATATAGTTTTTAAGCAATGTTAGAGAAATTAGTATGATAACCACATTTTATTAGGGCACTGCCGTTTCACGTGATTTTCTAATCCACAACAATAACAAATAATTTTTGAAACTGGTTTATACTTATTATACTGTTCCCTTGTTACTGTTCATATTTTTATTTATTTCCTTTCCTGCTGATAATATTTTAGTAGCCATTTGTACAGCCTTCATGTCAAGTCCGGTGTGTCGATTATATTTCACTAATATTTTTTCCCATTAGTAATTCCCGACACTAATTTGTCCCGCAATACTGTATTATGTACATCTCTTTGAATTCACACGTCTTTGCTCGTATCTTTAATTTATTTATATGTTCTGTAAATTTTTTTCTCCTTCTTTCTTGTTCCGTTTTAAATAAAAATAATGTCTCTCCAGCATAAAATTCGTTTTCTTCGCATAATAATTTTTTCAATAGTATAATTATATCCTCATAATGATATTTCCTCTAATGTCTTTGGCAAACCCAACGTAAATCATTTTGAATAAACTTCAAGTCCAATAATTGCTAATAAAAATGACTTTGTCTTCTATTTTGGCTATTCTAAAAATGAATTCCATCTTTGATAAATAAACTTCCATCTCACACCTCTTCATATTAAATTTCTCCATTTGAAACTGCGCCATGTCGTAATTATACAATATTTTATTTCGATGATGTCCTTATCCGTTTTTTCATGTCCTTTTATATAAAATATATATATTTATTTATTTTTTGATACATTAATTTAATCGAATACAATACATCATTTTATCTTTTTATTATGCCTTGAAGGTATTCTATCACAGTATGTTTTTCCTATTTCCTCCCAAATTTCCCAATTTTCTACCGAATCTCTAAATTTTAAGTCATTATTGCACCATATGTTACATCAATCATCTTCCTGATTTATTTTTTTTCCTATATCGTAAACACATCAGTTGTTTTCGTGGGTTTATATACTTCCCTAAAATTTTGTATATGAATACTTTTTTTTTATCTCTCGTTTTAGAGTCAACGTCACTCAAAATTCGCCGAATCTTAACGCGGAAACGAATTTATTACATCGCCATTCCAATAAGAACGACACCCTGCCAATCATAACCCTTACAAGACCAACTCAAGTCGACCACAACGACTTGCTAAACACCGCAAAAGATTCTGCGCCGTGCTCTATGACATCTAATGGCGATGCGGAAGAGGAGGAAAATTTGATCTACCAACCCTCCGCCCAAAATTATAAATCGACAATTTTGGAGAAGGTTTGCAGCGAAATATTGTGTCGCATAAGTTTTCCTCATCCGGGAACGTACAATATACTGAAAATTTTTCCGGAGCTTTTAGGGGAGCAATACGCCATTGAATATTACAACCCGGGTATCATCTTTCATAATTAATTTGATGCAAAAGTAATACCTAGACTCACGACGCATTCGTAATAATGCATTCGAACAAGGGTCGTTGAATGCAAATCAGCTGGAGCCGCCATTTTGGTTGCCCATGTAGTTAAATATTCTCATGTTAGTAAAAAAACTACTATTAAATAGACAACTCAATTCCTTATTATCTCGATGATCAGACAATTCTTTGATAAAATTTGCGTCAGACTTGGGAATAAATTGTCTTCTCGTTTAAAATTTATATTGATGATGATGGGTAATCAATATGACATCCCCAGCTGTTTTCATTGGTGTACACTTTTAATATGAATGCACCTTCAGTCTAGGTATTATTAATGTCGTTGATTTTACCTATCAATTAGAATAATTTAATCATAATCGTATTTTCAAGTTTAAAAAATGATACTTAAAAATGCTATAATTGATTTTCCTTTTAACGAATATTTAAGATCATTTTATTTTTGAGATGAATCAAGAAGGAATGGAAAGGAGGGAAAGTACAATATGGGATTATAAAGGAAAAACAACACTAGCGGAAAATAGGTTTTATCGAGATATATATATGTATATGATAAAGATAGAAACCAGTCTCAAAATTTCCTATACTGAATAGCATTTTATAAAATCTTTATATAGTATTTAACCAAACTTTTTAGGTCACCAAGAATTGCCCTTCTTCGATTACGATATAGTTCAAGCACTCTCTATTTTCGACATCAAAATGTTCCTAAATATTTTCACCTGTTTGCTCATAGAAAAACAAATTTTGATTTGTTCGAAAAGTCAAGTCGTTATATATACATTTTTTTTAAATACAATATTTATTATCAATAATTATTAATATAACAAAACCATTATCAATATTTTTGTAATAGTATAAGTCTAATCTAATCTTTATAAACGCTTGACGTACAGAACTTATGCTGTATTTATAGTTTGTAAGCACAATTCGCTCGGGCAAATTTTTCGCTGTAATTTACATTATCAAGCCAATGATAGGTATATTTCAATGACCAAATCGCAGGAAAAACATATGTTCCGATGCGATAATATGCCAATCAGCCTTGATTTTGCTAGCGATTAGTTTTAGCATGACTTGAGCGAATCGCAGCTGCTTACTAAAAATGCAGCGTTACGGAAAATATTTTAATGATTACACCAATAATATATCAGGTCCGGAGGAATTAGCCAATTTTTGCGAGACTCTTAAAGCCCTGTTGTACCCTTTTATTTGGAACCACGTGTACGTACCATTACTGCCATCTAGTCTGCATCATTTTATCGAAGCCCCAGTTCCTTTCTTAATGGGATATTTGTTTTCCACGGTGTCTGACGAGAACGCGGGATTCGTGGATAAAATTAAACTGGTAAAAATATTACCTAATTATTTATGATTTTTTTAAAAATAATATTTAGAGATTATTGACATGACTTAGATTGCCTGTCAATTTTTTTTTGATTGAAAAGTCGAGCCGGGCAAAATTATTCTTTGTACGAATTCTTATATTTCATTTTAGCGATAAATCCCAAGATTATAGACGTTTATTTTGGTGTTCAAAATATATTTTGGCTTAGGTCATGTATTTAAATTTTTTTTCTAAAAACAGGGCCAAAAATTTAACCCCATAAGTTTGGGCAACAACTAAATTCCCACTGGGCCGGGCCCTAAGAATTTTTGCCATTTGCAGACATCTGGTTAAAGATAAAATAGAAATTTATAATTTTCATCTATTACTGTAAATAATATTTAAATTGGCGGGGATTCAACTAGTATTTATGATAGGTTAATTTTTTATAATATTTTCTAATTCATTTTTTTTGGCTACATATTTAATGCTTTTAAATTTTTTAAAAAAATTCATCGAAAGGGGGTGGGAGCCATCTTTAAGGGTAACAGCTGATTTATACCAATTTTTTTTTCTCAAAAAATATATTGCAGATGCCTAACTTATGCCTGGCCAATTTGGATACCGGTTTTGTAAAGTTTCCCGACAACGATGACAATACGTTGCCAGAGTTCCCGGATCAAAGAATATTCGCCAAAGAACTATTTCCTTTTCTAAGGTGCGGTCAAGGCCTCGTAAAAAATAAACGTAATTAATCAATTATTTAGATAAATTAAGTGGCGTTCTTCTCGTCATTTCGTATCATTTTTATCTATCAGTAACGAACAAATTTTTTATTTTTTAAAAAAAATCGTCATTTAAAAGTGATTTAAATCAATTTTTCTTTAGAATAACTATGAAATTACAAACTCGTATAACTTTGAAGAAATACCGCTAATATTTACAACAAATTTGATATGTTAAAACGCGTAAATATAATGTAAAAATTATATTTAAGGAATACGATGAAAATTAAATGTTAAACTTATTTTATTTTTATTTTGCTGAATACAATTTCGTGTATTTATTTCCATATTTTTTATTAAAGCTAGGCTTGCAAAAATTATTTTTGATTTTTTTTATAACCTACAAATTTAACATTGTTTAATATAAATAATTTTTTTTAAAAAAAAACATGAAAAATATGAACTTTAAAGTGCTTATTTTTATACAAGAACGGAGAAATTTTTTTTTTAAAAAATGCAAACGTGGCAAAGATTTTAAATCCAGTGACGTATTCCTCTGCCCCCACCCTACCATGTCTTAGTTTAGTTTTAAAAAAATCAAAACAGATGACTTGAGGGTTTCTTTTTTTTTAAAAGAAAAGGCATCGTGGCACAAAGATTTGAAGGAACATACTCCTCTCTTGCACCCCCCCCCCCCCTCCACCATATACCTAGTTTAATAAAAATCTAAAGATGATTTAGGTTTAACACGACTGTTCAACAAATTACATTAAACATGGATTAATCAAAAATTTATCCTTTTTTTTTTTAAATTTTTTTCCCTTAAATTAAAGTTGTCTCGAATACGATTATCCGCACTATTTTCGCGCTCAGGTTCGCGCGTATTTTCCGAAACTCCGAGAGTTTTTTCGTGGAAAAACATGGAACGTTCGATTGCCAAGCTTTTATCTGCGACCAGAATCCTTCCTTCGCGCCGTTTTTAGCCGCCTTCCTCGATACCCAGGCATTCACGGGACTGCATAGAACGAGCGGTTAAAAAAAAATACCATATTTTTTTAAAGCATTCTAATCTATAAATTTTTTTAAGATAGCCGATAGGTAGTCTTTTATAAAAAATAAGAATTTGCTAAATCTGTTCACTTAATTATTTTTTATTGCTTGATCCTAGTAATTAGATGAATATATTCTTCATTTAGCACAAAACAAATCAATTTAATGATAAAATGTAACAGGTGAGTCAGATGAGTGGCATCTCTCATTTTTTCAAACACTGACCCGTCAATGTATAGAAGACAGCAATTTTGAACAAGAGGATGGAGTTTGCCCGATTAATCATATCGACGAGAAAGGATCGAAGGAAGGGAACGGAGAAATTATGCAAGAGGTAGTTTTTTTTATACATGCATTTCTTTCTTGTTTTTCTTTCCTTCTTATATATCCGTCCTTCTAGAACTCCCTCAACCTACCCGGGTTTAGCAGTCCGGGGTCTAAGTACGTCATTTTATTAGTCTCAGTGAGTCGACTTAAAGACTGACTCGAGCCTATTATTCAGGATTCTACTTATTCCATATTCTTATTTAACGAAATTCACTTGTTTTGGTAACATGATAGAAACCCAAAAGTTTAAGCCATTTTTCTTTTTTAATAACTAAGTTTTCTTAATTTTTTTTTTGATAAATATTTGTAGGGTGTTTTCGCCTCGACATTACGGGATTGTAACATAAATGAAAATGTTCTCAAAAACGCTGTTATATATACAGGTTTTATTTTATTTTTGATATTAAATCCTGTAAATATATTATCACTACCTTAATATATACTTGGTATGCCCTTATCTAGCCAAAAATGTATGTCTTTGTGACGCATTCTGGAACATTAATTTATCTATAACAAAAAGGATATATTTTTAGAAAAATAATCATAATCATTTTTGGGCTAATATACCCAAGTTGGTCATGGGTGGGATGAAGAGCTATATTGTAGAAATCCAATGGGGGTGTTAAGTGAATTTGGGCAGTGGTCCAGGGTATAGTGGCCCAGGGAATAAGGTAAAATAAAATATCCATCGTGAGGTAAATATTAGGTAAAGAGAAGATATAAAGAATTTGAGATGAATGTAGGTGAAAGGAATGTGTACGAAATTAGAGTGGGTGAGAATAAAGGTATGATTCTCACTGAATATGACTCTATGTCTCAATATTAGAGGTCTGCAATGGGCGGTTTGCCCATAGCCCGCCCACCCATTATTTTAATATTTTTAACCCGTTCACTTCCACCCAATGTTTGAAAATAATTTGTTGATTGGTTTTGACATTTATTTTTATTTTAATCCATTCTGCTCATTTCGTTCAGAAATTATTCAAATTCGGCAACTCATCCACATACATTTTTTTAGCGATGGAAGCAAAACCCGCTCATTCCAGAATTCCCATCTTTCTTTATTCACAAAGAATCTAGATCTCCTTATCTTAAAGATTATAAGTGGCAACCCCTCAACCTTTTTAAGACCTCGTTATTGAATCTCGAATTTATTTTATAACTTATAAAAAAGTCTTAAATAAATATAACCCTATGATAATAATTAAAATATTGGAAAAAAAAAATAATATATATTTTTTTAAAATAAATTAAATTTTTCCGAGATTTTGTTTTCAAAGTTAATTTATGTAAAGGACTTCTACCAATACTATGTCAGCCTTAACTCAATTTTCGATATCATATTAAACTTTATGTTATGCAATGTATTGACTAAAATCAACGTTGAAATAAAAAATGTTGGATAGAACATATGTTGGCAGAGCGTTACAAGCCCGAAAATCAAAAAATTATTGATCTGCGCGTACCTCAAACTGTGGCAGACATCTCTGACGAATTTCCTTTTGATTTTTCCAATATCAGATCCGATATCTTTATTTATTCCGCCAACGATATTGATGAACATCCCAACACCCTTTCAAAGTATAAGCCTTAAGTTTTTTTTATATTATTCCATTTCCTTTTCTTTTCTTTTTTTGATTATGTAAAATCAATCATTTTATTTGTAATTTTAAACATCCTTAATTTATTTAAAATTTTTTTTTCTCTTTAGATAAACACTTTTTCGAAATCATTTTGGATTATGATAAAAAATAATAGGAATTATTAGATCGATTTTATAATAAGCAAGATTGAGGTAACGATCGGAGAATAGATTGAAATAGAAAGAACTGAAAAAATAATAATCAGACTTTATTACATGATCCAACTTAATTACTAATAATAAACAAGTCATAAAAATTAAAAGGCGAAAAAGCTAAAATAAAAATTTTAAAAAAAATACTTTACAAAAACTGAAAAAGTCTTATAATATTCACAAAATCTCAAAAATATCCGAATTCGAGGAACAGCTGTTTTTGAAGATTTTCTTAGACTTAAACGCGGCAAAAGAACCTAAGTTTGTTACCTATCTTTTAAAGCGTTGAAGCACAACTTAAAAGAAGTGCTCCAGGACAACCTTTAAATCATTTGTTCAGTGAGTTTTTTAAAAATATTGTATTCTAGCATGGGTAAATTATTACCCAGATAAATTCGATAATATTTTGCACTTATAACCTGACAAACCCACATTGTCGATAACATGCACATAAACGATTTGATTTTTTTAAATAAAATTCCCTTCCATAGAAGATATCAGTAATCAAGACATGCATGGTCTCGTAGAGTGAGATATAGTTACGAATTATGAGGAAGAAAAATGCAAGAATCATTTCTTATTATTTTACCTTAAAGTCAGTTATAAAAAAAAATAATGGCGATTCTTCTCATAATTGTCTTCATTGTGCCCAACGTGGGGCTTGAACCTATGACCCTGAGGTTAAGAGCCTCGTGCTCTACCGACAGAGCTAGCCGTGCTCTAATACATTCGTATATAAAATTATAAATATAGAGATTAAATATCCTATTTATATGACAATGGTATTTTTATTGACTATGGTAAGTGGAAATAAAAAAAAAAATATTTAAATTTAACTAACCTATTTACAACTCAAATTTTATTCTTCAATTTTAAATTTAGCAATGCATAAATATGTTAATATCATTTTAGGAACACCGAAAGATTATTGGTATTAAATCGATTATGTTTTTAAAAACAATAATGAATTTTATTCGTAATTCTTTTGTATATATATACATTTATATAATTATCCAATTTAACTTCCAATAATATGCAATTTGATTAACCTCGATAATATAATATTACATGTCGGAAAGTTATAATAATATAATACACAAATAACGTCCTTTTAAAATATATAACTTAACATTTTGAATAGATTTTCAAAAATAACAATTGGTTAGCCCTTTTTTTTGTATTTAGGTATAGTTGATAAGTATGGAAAACATAAAAAAAAATTGATTGGTTTTTCTTTGACATTTTAATTTATGAGATGACATGATTTCGAATCGAAAAATGACAGGAAATTTATAAGACGTTGTCCGCTTGCAACTATTAATTTACTACAAATTTTCTTTATTTAACCAATAAAAAATATTATAATTTTTAAAACGAAAAAAATTAACTGTTAAAAAAAAATTGAATTCAAAAAAATGAATTGATAATTTACAATTTCGCAGAGTTGTATCTTTTTTGGTAGCTATTAGCGCGCTACTTTTTTTGAAATCAAAAAATATAATGAAGGTAAGTATAAACATAAAAATTTAAATACAATATCATAATTAATTAGAATTTTTTTGATTTATTATTTAATTTTGAAATTGATATATATTTTTCAATTTGTAATTTATATTTTCATTTGTATTATAAACCTAAATCACGTGTTAATAATTTAAAATGTCATCGCCTATGGATATCCAAATCGTTGAAAGTGATTCAAACAATGATATTAATGAAATGGAAGATGCCAGGGAAGAAAATGTTCTTAATAGCTATAATACAAATTTCCCATTTCCTAGATTTGTTTTTTAAAATAAATATAAAAACCAAAAATGGCTTAAAATTTATTTGTTTCAAATGTAAAAAAAATATTTCCTCAAATCAATCCAGTTATAACCTCACGAAACGCCTAAAGGTAAATTGTCATTTTTACATTCTAATAGTGTTTATTTATAAGACTGTTTATGCCAATAGTTTAAGGAAATGGAGAAACACTAAATAATTTTGGTATAGGCGACTCTCCAAAAAGTCTAATTCAATTCAAACCAAATTGATAAATAATACAAATGCCAATATTTCTCAGAAATTGGCTGATAGTTATTGTTGATTTTATAATTGATACACTTCAGCCAATGTCCTTCGTTGATAATCCATCATTTACCATGATGATTAAAACTATCCCCTGGTACATTTTATGTCGCCAGACACTAATTAATAAAATAGCAGATGTGATGAAAGATGCTCTAATAGTAGAGTTATCAGAGATATCATCTATATATGTACCACGGATAGTTGGACACATAACACAAGGTAAAAACTTAATGCAACAGATTACCATAAATATTTTTTTTATTACATAAATTTTTTTTCAAAACTAACTACATTTTAATATTTATAAATTTGATTTTTATATATTTACTATACAAAAACATTATAAGCATAAAAATAGAAAAAAAATTTGTTTCTAATAGTCTACAAATTTAGTATTATTGACTAGTGTTGTTAATTGGTTGGTTGTATAAAACCAGACCAGGTGTTTGGGTCTAAAAAATTGACCAAACCAGCTCTGAGCACAGACCCGGGGTTCAGATAAATGTAAAGTAAGATAAAATAAATCTCATTATCTAATCTTAAATTAAATTAATATTATTATACCTTCTAAATTAATAATTCAAAGCTTTATTTTATTCTCATTTTTCTTACCATTTAAATATTTATAATTTTGGGTGCTTTCGATTGGAATTTGTTAAAACATTCACAATCCTGGTCTCGACCCCGGGTTCGGGCTCAGAGCAAGCCTGAGCATAAAATTTGGTCTTAAATTTTATGACCTAGCATAGCAAATTAGAACAACACTAACTGACTGACTGAGACTGACGCTAACGTAACATTTAAACTTTAACCATATTAATATTATATATATTTAATATTTTATCATTAATTTATATTTGAATTTGTGTTTTAGAAATTGCCAATATTTTATAAATAGTCACTATTTTTCAGTGTTGTTCTTGTTGTGCTTGTGTTGTCTTGCTTTTGACTTGCACTTGTGCGTGACGATTTAATAAATAAAACCCATTTGTTGAGATAAAAATTTTTGTTTGTAAAATTAATTATAATAAATAACACATTTATTTAAAAAGTTATTTAACTTTAATTAAATAAACTATATAAATTGATTCAATTTTTTTTATAAATTGCAAATGTTTTATTTTATTTATAGGGTAAATTATTTTTAAAAAAAACAAACAATTAAAATAAATTAACAACAATATGTTTTTTTATTTTTGCACAACCCTCAAAAAATAAATGACAATCAAATATATAATATATAACAAAACAGATTTAAAAAATACATTAAAAATTGGATATTTTAATTTTCGTTTTTTCTTTATATATATATTCTCCTTTTTCTAAATTCCTTTAAAATATATTTCAATATAAATTTACCTTAATTCATTGGTTGTCCTCGATAACCAATTTCCAAAAATTGATGCATTAATAATTTGAAAAATCAAAAGGAATAGTAAATTCATTAAGAATTGATGTTAAATTATTAATTATTTCGTTTCGAGTATTTGGTCGGGGATTGATCGACCTATATTTGTTTTTTAACACTCCAAAAAAATTTTCTATCGGGTTTAGTTGCGGCGAATAGGGTGGCAAATATTCTATTCGCGCTCTAAAACAATCAATGAGGTGGCTTTTATGGATGGATGCATTGTCCATAACAATAACTGCATCACTCGGTTAGAATCACCACTTACAGAGGAAGAATTGATCATATGGAAATTATTTGTAATATTAGGTATTGAATTTGAATTAGATAAAACAGGATCAGGATTTAATGTAAATGAATTTGTATTACTAGATAAAATTTGTCGTATATTAAACATTTGAAAAAAATATTAAACTCTATTTTATAAAAAAAATTAAGTTATATAAAAATTGTAAAATGCAAAAAAATTACCGTATGTATTTTTAAATCTGTTTTGTTATATATTATATATTTGATTGTCATTTATTTTTTGAGGGTTGTGCAAAAATAAATTTTATTTTAATTGTTTGTTTTTTTTTAAAATAATTTACCCTATATTTTTCATTTCTTAGTTATAAATATCGTCAATTATATTGACGTTGTGGGTTATTTAGATTGTGGATTTTCAGTAAGTTATATCTTTTATTTTTGAATCTTGGCCAGTTTAGTTTTTTTTTTTTTGCTTTATATTGTTAGCGTTTTCTATTTTTCTGGTATTGTTTTAATGCCCTGCATTGAAAGCAATTAATCATAATCTTACATAATTCTTCTGTGATATACGTTTACTAGCTTATTATAACTCGAATATTTTATTTTCCAATTTTAAAATTTAACAAAAATATATCCAAAAGAGGGCGTTAAATGCGTAAATATGAAAAATATTATTTTATAGGGAAATCAGTTAGATTATTGTTTAGCGCTTAATTTGAATCAAAGAAAAATATATTTTAGAGATTATGTTTTTGGGAAACAAAAATTCAGAGATCTTGATCAATACCGATAGCAATACATGCCTGTCATAATTGGGAGACTTTGATTTGTAAAATCTGATTTTTGGTAAAGTCAGTATGTATCGCGTTTGGTGAGACATTTTTATTTTTATAATTTTATGTTTTAGTTTAATCGCGCTAACATTTTATTTTTAGATTTATAAAAGTTAATTATTGCAAAGTCATTGTGATGGGACAAATATAAAATATGAAATTCTTCATCAACATTAGTCCTAATTTCCTTGAGTTCTAAAATGCTCTCCGCTATTCTCATCTT